TAAAATTTGGAGGCAATTACCCCCAAAAGCAATCCCAGCATTTCCTTTGTGATATGAAACCTTGTGGTACAATGTCAGAGAGATCCATACACTAACACACAAGTTATGTCTGGAAGTTACAAAAATGCTTATTTTTTGGCCCCTTTTTGGTCCCTAATTCCTTAACTGTTGGTACCATAACCCCCAAAATCAATCCCAACCTTCCTTTTGTGGTATTGAACCTTATGGTAAAATTTCATGGAGATCCATTCACTTAAACTAAAGTTATTGTGCGAAAACCAATGTGTCTTCGGACGACGACGACGACGACGCCAACGTCATACCAATATACGACCAAAAAATTTTTAATTTTTGCGGTCGTATAAAAATGCTTGTTTTTCGGCCCCAAATTCCTAAATGTTTAGGGCAATTACCCCCAAACTCAAACCCAGCTTTCCCTTTGTGATATCGAACCTTGCAGTCAATTTCATAAAGATCCATACACTTACACACAAGTTATTGTCCTGAAACTAGAAAAATGCTTGTTTTTATGCCCTTTTATGGCCCCTAATTACTAACATTTTGAGGGAATTACCCCCAAAATCAATCCCAGCCTTCCCTTTGTGGTATGGTACCTTGCAGTACAATTTCAGAGAGATCCATACATTTGAACACAAGTTATTGTCTGGAAACTAGAAAAATGCTTATTTTTTACCCTTTTTGGCCCCTTATTCCTAAGCTTTTTGGGCAATTACCCCCAAACTCAATTCCAGCTTTCCCTTTGTGATATGGAACCTTGTGGTACAATGTCAGAGAGATCCATACACTTACACACAAGTAATGTCTGGAAGTTACAAAAATGCTTATTTTTTGCCCCTTTTTGGCCCCTAATTCCTTAACTGTGGGTACCATAACCCCCAAAATCAATCCCCACCTTCCTTTTGTGGTATTGAACCTTATGATAAAATTTCATTGAGATCCATTCACTTTAACTAAAGTTAGAGTGCGAAAACTAATGTGTCTTCGGACGATGACGACGACGACAACGACAACGATGACGCCAACGTCATACCAATATACGACCACAAAAAAAATTTTTGCGGTCGTATAAAAAGCAGAAAATAATGACAGGTCCGTGTCCTTGTTTATGAGATTTAATCAATTGAAAATGTGGCGCAAAATGATTCTTTCTAGATTTTTCATACATTTAATTAACATTAGCACCTTTTTACTTTCTAAAACTATGAAAAAATAAGAAGGATTTTATAAGATTCTCAAAAATTGCTTTAAAAACTATATGTAATAAAATAATGCAAAGAAAAGTGAGGGTTAGCGGGCAAAATTTTTATTGGTATTTATTGATAAAACTAGAGGATTCCTAATATCTGACCAAAAAATCTAAAACTAGAGTAGCAAACATCCTTAATCCAAAATCAATGTGATCTTTAAAATGTACCTGAACTGCATTGTACTACATAAGAACATTTAAAAAAAAAATCAAAAACCATTGATATATTACCAAAAGGCTTGTGAAAACTTCCCCCAAAAAAGAACATATAGCCATACAAAAAGCGTTACTGAACAGAATTGTAAAAAACAAAAATAACGAATAACTTATTTCTATGAGTTCTGAGAAAAAAAAACTTTAACTGTCAGTGTCCGTGTTTGTTCTCTCAAAGATATTAACAGTTATATGATAGTTAGATTTATACAAAAATAAGAAGATGTGGTATAATTGCCAATGAGACAACTCTCCACCAGAGATCAAATGACATAGAAATTAACAGCTATAGATCACTGTACCACATAGTCAGCTATAAAAGGCCCCAAAATGACAAATGTAAAACAATTCAAACGAGAAAACTAATGGCCTGATTTGTGTTTAAAAGAATGTACGAAAAACAAATATGATATACAGCAACAAACGACAACCACTGAATTACAGGCTCCTGACTTGGGACAGGCACATAGAATGTGGCGGGGTGAAACTTGTTTGAAGGTGCCAACTATACCTGATATAATTACCGGCCAACAATGTGAAATAAAAGTCTATTTTCAATGAAACAGTACTTAAGGTCATAACCTTCAACTTTCATTGTGAGTGCCAGAGTGGAAGTGTTTATCCAACAGCAATTACAAAAACCTTCAAATACTAATATATATTGTTTATGGTATATAGCATCAAAAGTAACTACTTCAAATCATAGAGACGTAAATTATCTAGTTTCTAAATAACAAAACTGGTAAAAGTGGGTGTTTAATTTGAATTTTCAATTGAACTTTGGTAATCATGTTGTTTATTCTTCGAACAGATTTAATTCTCCCAAAAATACATATGTTGTAGCTAATTATATACATATTGGCTAGAATTAAAGTCAAATTTACACCGATGCCTCTATAATCCTTTACAGGTGATAATAGCTACGGTTAATGTGTACATCACACTTGTTTTTAATCCAAAGATTCGTTGGAAGAATTTCGTAACTTGCAAATATAATTCTATGATGCAAACAAAACAAAAAAAACTATAATTTTCCAGTCTTGTTCATTAACAACTAATTTGAAAAAATGGTTGAAAAAGAAAAAGCCATCAATTTTGAATAATTGCTTATATGCTAAGAATAACATTTGTTTTTTTAGAAAAGATATTACGTTAATGAAATTTTTCATCATATATAACATGCTTTAATAATAATGTTGAAATTAAGTACAATAAAAATTTAAGCTATGTAATATAAAAACTATAATCAGGAAAAAGAATCGTGCCAATTGCACTCGGATGAAGACGGGAGCGTTTGTCATTACTATTCATGATATCAAAAAGAGAAAACATTTTATACAATTTACATTTCATAATGTTTCAGATACCAATTTACGAACAGCATTCTTTGAAGTGAATGAGATATAAATTTTTGACGAAGACGCAATAATAAATAACAAAACTATGCTTCACCTTCGATCTAATTCAATCAAACACTTGTATGATCAAGTAACAGCAGTATTTAATAATGGCCTGATACACAAGGAAATATTCTTCTTTGAATTTTTACGTGTTTTTAAGCTAAATGTGCATATAGAAAATTTTTTCAAGAACCAATTTAAATGGGAGAGCTTTCGGGATTTTCGTCATAAATCTCTCTTTCATGATCACAGCTTTACTTAAAGGACTATTCTTTTAAATTCTTCAAAGTTATATGTTTTGGGATTTGTACAATTTAATTACAAACATTTATAAGATTAATATATCATGTAAAATTTCCATAAAAAGCTAAATTTGGAACAAGACCACCATGCTTTCTTCTAAAAATGAATAAGTTACAACATGTAGATAACTTGTAAAAAGGAAAAAATCAAACAAGTGCAGTTTCTTTAGAAGATGCACTTTACAGAGAAATATATATGTTTGGGAATGTCAGTTTTTGTGGTTCATCAGAAAATCATAGTTTTTCTACTTGTAATTTCAGAATAAGTACCATTATTTTTTTAAACTGGGTATTAATATTCATAGTGTTTGATCAATCCCCAAAATCAAAGATATTTGGTACATGTACTCCAAAACAGTAGTGCATGTGTACTTTAAGATCACAGGACTAGATTTACCACCATATTTTTACCATATACATTACCTTATCTTTTAGTGAATTTTGTGGGAATTTTTATTTTCCTTCTAGACATACTGGATTTATGCAATTATAATAGCTGTAAAAAGTTTGAAGGCAGAGAACAACTTAAAAATAAATAATTAAATACATGAATAAATGGGAGTTGTTGGCCAACAATCGGAGTTATCCAGTAAAATGTACTTTTACAGACATCTAACATTTGTTTAAAGGTCAACATTTGGATGGTTGTTCTTCGGTATTTATGAGATTTATTGTGATTTTAAGATGAAGAACAGCAATAAAAACACTGTTCCCTTGGATTTTGGTTTTGTCAAGATTGTGTAGAGGTTTTGTGTCATGAAATAATACTCCTTACCATTTCTTTTCCTTTCATATGCATATGTGATTAAATGACCATGAACCTTGACCTATAACCTTGATATTAATAGCGGGTTCATCATTTTCTCATTGAGAACCATTAAACAAAATTAAGTGATGATTGGTTTTAAACTATTTTTAAGTTTAAAAGGTGTTGCAGACGCACACACATACAGACAAATATATAGCTATGTCTTATACTAGCTTGTAAGGTCTACAACTTAATGTAATATGTTAGTTTTTCCTAGGTGATTTGTTATATGGGTTCATTAAAAAAATTCTACTTCTTTTTATCTTAAAAATTACTAATATTAACAATACATTTATCTTATCACTAGCCTTACACTGCTTAAGACTACTTGATCCGTTGTTTAATAAGATCATCTAAAACTGTTATTAACTACAACAAGTATTTATTTACTTTGAGATGAGTCACATTCTTAAGAATGTTAGCTGATCTTGTTTTGGACTATTTGTCAGATATTTGAAATCCTCTGGTTTTATCCATGTAGTGCAATTAAAAATTTTGCATGCTAACCCCTACTTTTCAATTCATAATTTAAAAAGCCATCTTTGAAAATCTTCTTAAATCCTTATTTTTTTCATAATTTTTGAGAGAAAAATTGTGCCAGTGTTAGATGTATGAATAATCAAAATCATTTCTGGCCAAATTTTCAATGGTTTATATCTCAAAAACAAGGACACAGATCTTTCTTTTTTTCTACATTTTTAGTTTCTTTATATATAAAATTTCAATTTATAACAGTCTTTTAAATAGCTTGTAAGTTTGAAACAGAGCAGCCAACATCCTTAACAATCATAAAGAAGTAACCATGTTAATTAGTCTTTCAGTTGCAAGCTGCAGACTGGTTCATTGGTACAAAGGGTATACAAGTTGAACTTGTGACCTTGACACTGTAAACAGACAGGCTTTAACCTTATTTGAGATACAACCTCTTTCAGTTAGCAGCAATAAAATAATGTCACATCAATATATATCAATTGAGAGGGAAGTTGGAAAGATACTTGATTCAGACTTACCTCACAATGCTGTTGGTATATCTCCATTGATTCCTGACTAGGGGGATAAGGTGTTATTGGCTGAAATAAAAGAGTATATATGTAAATATAAAAATAAGAAGATGTGGCATGATTGCCAATGAGACAACTCTCCACAAGAGACCAAATGACACAGAAATAAACAACTATATTTTACCATATGGCCTTTAATATGAGTAAAGACCATGTCTACAAGCAGTGATATCATCTTGCATTTTTATTACAAGTGCTTTTTCTCTGTAACTCAAATTTGAAATAAAATTTATAAGAAATTATTTCAGATACCTACTAACCAAGAAAGTACAGTCAAAGTCATAAGATACACGAATTTGTTTACATATGAGTTGGTTTTTACATAGTCGTACCCTTTCTACTGTTTTTTTTAAAGGAGAAGGTCTGGTAAGGGCTAATTTTGGTCTACAATTTGAAGTACATCTGAAGAATGATTTTTGACATTTTTCACTGAAGTGTATATTTCAGTCGAATCAATGAGTTTATGAAATAGATTTGAACTGATTTGGTCATTAAAGACGTTCAAATTCAAGCTCAATATGCAAAATCTGTCAAATATGCCAAGTGCGGCCACTTCCATTTTAGACAAAATCTGTCAAAAAATTGGTACAAATGCTAAAATTGTGAATATTTCTGTAATTTTGCATGAATTAAAGATGCTAGTACCTAATGCATGTGTACTGTATTGTCACAAACACCCCATATTTAACAAAAGTATTTTTCTGTCCAATTAATAGCTAGAAGTTTACATTTTAACAAATTTGCTAAAGTGCTATATTTTGGGGCCAGAAAGGGGTTTTACCGGGCCTACTCCTTTATTTTCAACTTTACATCTATTCAAAAAGAAGACTATTCTTGTAGTCAACTTGAATAAGGCTCATGAATTTTAAGGAACCCAGATAAAAATATGGATTCAAGATTCTGGTCTATTGCCAGTAAGCATCCCTGTCTTATTAAAGCAGCTGTTAAGTACATTACCGGTAAGTCGCATTAAAAATTGAGTAAACTGTTCAATTGAGAATATATAATGTGTAGAACTGACCTGTAACTGTTGGTCTAAGGAATGGTAAACCAAATTCATAGCAAAAGCTTCAGCATTTGACAGTCCAGTACCTAGAACAGAACATAATATCTATATGATAATATTGTGTAAATGCTAATAGAAACCAGAGCTAATGTTTCTACGTGAAAGAACATGACGGAAAGACATCTGATATTAACTAGGAATCTCAAATGAATTCTATGCTTTTCAATGACGGACCACTATACAGCTCTTTCTTACATCTACAAACAACAACCATGACGATTTAAAACTCTGGGTACAAAGATAAGGAATCTGACAGAAGGTTAAAATTAATAAGCTGCTTCGCCAAGCGCAGCTGGATACGACCGCAGAGGTCCAACCCTGAACAGTTGGGGCCAAAATTAAAACAATATTCAGGCTTGATACAGGTCTGAATTTGGATTGTAATTAAATATTTGACACATAATAGGTTTCTGACACAGAATAACTGTAGTCAAAGAACTTAGAATTGGTTATATGATTTGAATTTATATTCATATACTTCCATCACAGTATTTGATGTTTCTAGAAACAGCTAAAAAATAATTCATACTAGAACTAGCTGACAACTTTACATAATTTAAAAGCAATGTAAGGGAGGTAATTCAAATATAACATTGTAATTATTATCTTTTAAATTTTATTTAATGTTTATTAAATTAAACAAAACAAATTTTATAGCCTTAGGACCAAAATTTGGACCAATTAGAATATGGGCCCAACAACCAAATACACAGTTAGATTCAGCATATGAAAAAAATTGTAATACTAATAGCATGAAAAATTGTAATACTTATAGCAAAAAGTCCCAACATAATTAAAGAATCAAAGCTTTCTCAAAATCAAAATCCAAAAATATTGTTCTCTTCTATATACTGTAAAATATCATTAATCAATCGAATACTATCCCTTATATAATGCTTAATGGTCCAATATCTATTTCATAGAGATCCAAAGACCAATACTTAAGTAATTGTCCATTAACCAGGAATCCCTTGTTTTTCCCACTTTTTTGCCCCTAATTCCTAAACGGTTTGAACCTTATCCCCCCAAAGCCAATCCTAACCATCCCTTTGTGGTATGGAAACTTGTGGTATAATTTCAGAGAGATCCATACACTGTTCCACAAGTTATTGTCTAGAAACTAGAAAAATGCTTATTTGAGCCCCTTTTTGGCCCCTAATTCCTAAACTGTTCGGACCATAACCCCAAAAATCAATCCCAACCTTCCTTTTGTGGTTTTAAACCTTGTGTTTAAATTTCATAGATTTCTATTTACTTATACTAAAGTTATTGGCCGGAAACCAAATGACTTTGGACGACGCTGACTCCGACGTGATACCAATATACCACCGCAAAATTTTTTGCGGTCGTATAAAATTAAAAGACCTTTGTACTTAAATCTGTTAAGATATGGACGTTCCCACAAGAAGACCTACTACTTGGTCCTTATTCAAGACAAGCGGATGAATCATGCTGATCCAACTGTTTATGAATTATGTTTTACAAAATATAATAAAAATGTAATATCAATATACAATTAACACACATATCGATTAGCCAGAAAATAAGGATTTTTTGGGCAATATTTAGAAAGCTTATGAGACAGGAAAATAAATGAGGGTCTATGAGTTTTATTTCAAATTTCATTGTAATACAACTAACTTTTCTATTATCCAAAATTGTATGTATACAGATTCAAGAGCCTTAATAATTTTTTCTTTGTTCATGATAACAAAATAACAAGAAAATTTCCCATTGCTGAAATTCTCTCGTTCAGATGAAGTCGAGCGATGACTAATTACTGCACACACACCTGTATTCATGTAAGTTTACTACTTCAAAGTATCCACATGTACTTTAATTACTTAAAAGAACATGTTCTTTTATAACAAGTATGTAAATGCACTTTTCACCATTACCTAAATTTCTGGGACTTACTTTATAATTCTTATAGTTTATAATGTTTCAATAAAAGTCAGTCCTTTCGTAAAACGTTCTTATTGGGTCAACAATGCATCATGTAGTGTTATTTTTTAAATATGGGTATATCGTTATCGGGTCGTAATTACGTATTCAATTCTAAACACTTCATTCATTGGTGTTGATGGTATACACATGTCCCCAAATGGAGGATTAATTAAATTAACAATAATTTCTTAAAATAAAATTTGAAAAATGCTATTGAGTGTCTATAATACCACTATATTCAGACAATATAGTTATCTGATTGATTGAAAAAAAAATATTTTAGTCTGAAATTACTTTTTTAATAAATTATCATTTGTCAAAAGCAATACCAAGCAGTTACATTTCTCATAACCTCTGCAGACCTTGAGCTCACTTTTCAATTAAGAATTGAATGCTTGTCTTTGTTATTTTAAATTTGTGTAAAATCGTTGATAGATGCACATTGTGCATGAAGCGTAAAAACTTCTTACATAAAATTATGACTAATATAAAAAATTTTAATTGTTTTCCTATTTATTCTTGTGTCTTTGACATGGGAAACATGTGCTGTCATAAATTTTTCTTTTTATTGAGAAATAAAATCTAATTTTGAAATGCCTCCCAATTCTTGTCTTCTAAATCAGAATTTCAAATCATATTAACGGATTCTTGTGAAACACACGTTATGTCATTTTTGTGAAATAACAAGCTTAGTTGGTTCCGGTTAAGACGATTTTTGTTAACTAAATGTTGTTGAAATGCCTCATGAAGCAAAATATTGTGGTAGATATCACAATCATGACAATTGTATGATCATTAATGATTTCTAAGAAAATAAATCAAATGCAAAGCTTACTCAAATCTCTTGTGTATATTGTAGGTCGTAATGACCTATTTACTACATTTAAACACTATGTATAGACACTATATCTAAATTTTAATTTCACATAAAGTAACCACAGTAACACCATTCCCAGTGTATTAACCTTTCAAATTCAATCCTACTTTATAATTCTAATGTGGACTTGGTAATCAGCAATGAGGACAGATTTATTTAAGGAATGACTGTAATATTTTTTCTGTCTATGAAGAAATAACATCAAAAATGTGATGCACACTGAATAACTCGTTACACAGGTTATTTAAAATTGTGCATCAAATTTTTTAGGTTATTTCAAATAGACAGAAAAAATATTACAGTCATTCCTTATAATTTAATTGTAAATTCTGTTTTAAGAAGTAAATTTTGAAAAAAAATGTTGGTGATGTCATGGTCACATGACAAAATCATGTCTATGAGCTGATAGACAAAACACTTTCAGCCAATCAGAAGACATGTTACATCCAAAATTAAATTATTGGTGTAGAAATCATTTAAGTGCTGAAAAATCCTGAAAATTTATGGCTGGATGAAAAAAATAAAGGCTGGTGGGGGAAATTTAGAGGTAAAGGACTTCACTCTTGAAAAGCGGTAGTAATTCCTTGTAGATTGTATTTATAAAAAAAACCTTTGATTGACATGTTGTCATGCTAAATGTACCACAACTCGAAATTCAAAGTATCTGAAAACAGAAAGATGGTGTCTAACAAATCCAGTATGGACAAACACAGTCCAAATTATCAATGTTGGGCTGTTGACCAAATATAAAGTCATTCCTTTCAATAGTATTAAAGAAATAAGTGACAAAAAAGTTTAAGTTCTTTCAATATATTGAAAAGTATTACCAAATATGAAGTAGGTTTCTGTCAGATCCAAAATATATGCACAAACTATGACTGACAAAATATGAAGGCAATTTGTATAAAAATTTCTGAGAAAAAGTATAACTTAATATTTCTTGGATGAACAGACAAGATGAATGCAAAATAGCTCCCTCTCCTAGAGTGGGCGTATAATTTACTTATAAAGTTCAAATTTTAGAACTAAGGAGCAGTATAGTATTGGTGTAAATATCAGAGCCATAAAAACAATAATTTTCACTTAAAATAATGCAAGTTTTCCTATAAAAATAAAGTAAGACACCAAACATAAGTTCAACATTCCACGTTCCAAACAAAAATAAAAGTAATTTATAAAAAATAAATGAAATTACAATGAACTATTTAATTCAAAGAAATCATGCAAAACAATTTCCATTTAAAAAATTCATGCATTCCACACAGCAATATAACACTTAATAAATGCAATGAGATTCAATTCTCCAAGATAATTAACCAAAGAGGAATAACTCAAGGTCATAAAGGAGTAAATTTAAATGTTTTTTTTTCCTTATCACTCACATGGACTGAAATTAAGTTAGACAAAACATGGTACCAGTATATATGTGGATGGTGAAACATTAAAATTTACATCTATTCAAATTCATTTATGAAACCGTCACAGATTTAATCTAATACAGAAGTTTTTTCATAAAAATAAAATAATCACTTTCACTTCATTGAACAAAACTTTTTCGAGTCGTTTTCATTGATGGATGAAATTAAATTCTCATAGTTTGCCATTAATGTTTAATAAATAAAAGTTCGAACATAAACCAGAAGTTTGAATGTAATTTAAGTGACTTTTAAGTATTCTTGCAAAGGTTTTGTCCCTAAATGTGTAGGCAGATATTTTAGTCCCTGAATGTGTGTAGGCAGATGTTAACCAGCTAGTTTTGAAACTCCAACACCTCAAACCACTTAAACTGACAAGCTTTTTCTTATCATGATCAGGCACTGTATAATAACCCTTGCTCACGAAGAGCATTATCATGTAGAATGCATTAAATGGATAGTTGGATTGGTGTTTTATGTCCAGTGGCAAATATTAAAAACATATCAGGAAGAGGATATGTTGATTTGAAATGACAATGAACCCTGCTTTCACTAGTAACAGTCTAACATGCTGAGCAGGTTTCGTAATGTGATGGTTCACAAAGTAATGAAGAACTTGTTTTATTTTGTGAGTCCTTGTAACTTCAAAGACAGTATAGTGACATTTTACTGTGTACTTTTAAGTACTTGTGCAGGTGGGATGCTATATTATTGACATTTCTTTAAAGTTTTTCTTTTATTCTTATCAACTATATTGTTCAACTGAGTCAAAAATAGTTTTAACATCAATTACCTTGCTGAATATCTGATGGCTGCGTATTCCTAGGAGGGATCAGCTCTATCTGTATCCCTCCCCCAGAGTCTGACGTCCATGAGGCATGACGTGACCCTGTGGCTGGTACCCTCTCTGACGTCTGAGGCTGATGAGATACAGATCTCTGTGGGAGGGCATTTGCCCTGTTTCCTGTTATAGACCCTGGGAAAGTACTGACTTGATGAAATGTTTGTCCAGAACTGACCGGAATGTGGGCAGTGTTAATAAAAACTGGGGAAGTGCTCTTAATTTGGTATCCTTCGTCTGAACCAACCCGTCGGTGACCACGCCCTGAAAATGCAAATAGCAACCACATACTCAAACTTGCATGCAGTTAATAAAACATTAACTTAAAGTTCAAAGCAAAATATCTTAACAAAATTTGTAAAAGCTGATATATGCTTTAACTAAATTCAAATAAACAGAGAAGACGAAAACAACCAAAATAAATTCACAAATAAAAAACATAACAATTATTTAATTCAAATGATCAAACATTAAATTTAAATGATGATTTGGCACTGGTGTTTTTATCAAACATATTAATCTTATCACTAATTATAAGTGAAAAGTTTCATGCATAAAAGTAAAAAAAAAATGTATGAAACAGTAATGGAAGATGTGATGTGATCATTGAGCATAACAATATCAAACTGCTAAAAAACATTCCAAAGGAAATAGTCAAGTTCAAGAATTTCTTTTTTTGATTTTTTATCTATGTGTATTTCCAAAGACTTCAGTATCACCTTTTCCTGATCTGTAAATTTATCATTAAGGTCTACTTAAGTGTAATGAGACGTCAATTTCTTATCATAATGTGACATTTTTTCCACCACATTCTATTAGTTCACTTTTTTTTACAATCCATCTTAGCAAAGAAGGAGGATACAGTGCATGACATGCATCAAGATTCCAAATGCTGAAACATTCACTATTGTCAAAAATCTTTAATTGGTGAATGCAATTTGTTATAAGTTGTAGAATCTTTTTTTATTTCCGTGGGCAAATTCATGGTTTCAAACTACAAATAAAAAAAAAATTAAAGGGGGGTATTTATTTCATTGCATAATTAATTTCATGGTTTTAGAGAGCCATTAACATCCCAGAAAATATATATAAAATACTAATGAATCTTTCACGTCTCATTTTTATATAGTGTTTAAATGTTCATGTTGAGTTGTAGATAAATTTTCTTTACCATGCAAAGACAAGTGATGCAAACATTCATATTTCAATACAGAAAACATTTTGTATCAAATATTTTTACCTGTAAAATACTACAGCAAACGAAGAAATAAAAACATGTTCATAGAATAAGCATGCAAAGATTTTTGTCGCTTTTTCAAAAAATTTCATTTCTTCAAACTACAAGGAAAGAACATGCAGAACTCATTTTAACATGCAAACAGACATGCATTACTTGAAATTGTTAGTGCAAATAGAAGAATCACTCTAAAAGATATAAGAAATGCTTTTCAGCCAGTAATGAAATGTTGTCAAGGGGAGATAAGTGAGAAACTTCAACTGTGTAGCCTGGTATCCTGTCCAATTTTATCTATGCTAGCCAAAACAGATGTTTGTTTCATTATATAATACTAGGGACCAGCTTAAAAAGAAAAGCTGACTTATTTTAAATACAACTGAGAGATAAAGTCAATAAAGTTGGCTTATGAAACCTATCTGTAAACAAATTTCACTTTACTGTTTTTATACTTAAGAAAGATACAAGAAGAGGAAAAGCATCAAATTTATACTTTGAAAAGGTACAAGAATTGGAAAGTACTGATATTATACTAAGAATAAATAGAAAAAAAACTCCATATTTTTTTATACAGATTCTTAAAACATCTGTTTCAACTGCAAAGACCAGGATCCCAGTTTATGTAACACTCATTAGTGACAGGAAGTGATCAAAGGTAGATAACTTTATTACCTGGAAATTGGAATTGTGATTGATCGGATATAAACTTTGGTGACAAGAGTGCAGCAGTAGTGTATGAGGTATATCTTAGATGAGTTGGTATGGCTAAATATTAAACAAAGGCACTGTTAGCTTAGGCAAAGTAGTTATAATAATGTACTAAATAAGTTATACCAATTAATGCACCATGGTGAGTGAAAATTCTCTTAACACTTTTTAAAAAGATTTTTTAAAGTAATTAAACATACTTTCATGCATATATCAAAGATCACCTCTTTCACAGTCAGTGTTCATCAATTTTACAGAAGGGACGATTAAATACTTATTTGAAAGTAAAAAAATGTAGAAAGAGGTTTCATACAAATTTCTATGTGGCTTCAAAGTAAACAGACATTCAAATATAAAGGGTATTCAAAATAGAATTGGTTTAAACTTTCCAATTATAAAACTGTTAAGAAATTTTCACACCCATCTTAAGACCTATTGCCTCTTTTCATCCAAAAGCTCAGAGAATTTCGTTCATAAATAAATAGATTTCAAATTCAAAGTTTCAGAATCAGATGCATTCTGGGTAATAATTAAAAACCGAATCACCTTATAGAATGGAAATTGAAACAATAACGAAATTATTTTCATTTCAAGGTAAAAACATTTAAAATACCCATGACAGTCCTTTAGATTCTGAAATGGAGATATCGAATAAACATTTATGAACGAAAGTAGTTTTGGCTAAAAAGGCATCAGATCAGCTCTAATTACAGCATGCATTAGTATTTAATAATAATTTTCTATGAAGTTAACTTAAACCAGGGATTCAGAATACACTTAATCTACATCAAACGATCTCATTTAAAATCTGAACAGATTTCAATACACGAGGATACAGGATATTTAACCCACTTTAAGAACTATGAAAGAGGCGACTCTTTCATCTTCAACTAATAAGAAAATAATTGGGTCATAAAGTTCAAAATATGGCATGTGATTAAAAAAATCCTTTTTTAAAATTTTTGAAAAAGTTCATAATTTGACAAATCAGTTTCAAAAAGTACAAACAATAAATACTCCTACTCCAAAATGTCCTAATTCACATTATAAAAATAAGGAGATGTTATATGATTGCCAATGAGATAAACTATACTTAAGTTTACTTTACAAAATATATTAAACATATTATCAAATTCTGAAAAATCTGATACCTAAAGTCCTACTTGTCTACTGAAACCATTTGTTATAAAACCCACAAGAATAAGCAATAGCTCCAACGATCTTCTACCTAAAATCATAAGGAGACAGAAAAGCGAGGTCAGAATTCGTGTTGTGGTTCTCACCTGCAGACGAGGTTGTCACTGGTGTCTGTAATACTCCACCCGTAATCATTATAATGGTGCCATGAGATCCCGCCCTACGATGGCCTAGCAGAAGCAGAGGATTAATGCCATGATTACACGAAAGATAAAAATCACAAAAATATATATAGTACAGTATATATGATTAAAGATATAGCTGGATTATGTATTTAGTTGTAAGAGGTAATATTCTGTTTATCAATGAGTTTTCAATACTTGTATAGCAAATTTATCCTTGTAGATTTATCAAAATTCAAATGATACATTTCAGATATTAATTTCATTTCATTAATACATGTATGTAGCTGTACTATGACTAAAGGTAAGGAACTCCTCAAGGGAAAATTGACATTCAAGAGCACTATTTGGTATAGGCATATCAAAAAGTAAAAAATCAAAAATACAGAACTACAAGGAAAATTCAAATCGGAAAGTCCCTTATCAAATGGCAAAGGGACATGTAGAAATATTTGATCAGGGCTGATTTTAGAAATTGTCCCAGACATTGCTGATATAAATAGTTGATGTAAATATCATAGCAATCCTACAAGTAATGTAGACCCTGACCTAATTTGATTCTATGCCATATAAAAGAATGGCAATACTTTAATCACTGCAGTTCTAAGTAGTAAATTTACATTAAAAAATAAAAACATTATTACACCCAAAATCATCAGCATGATCAGGTTCATAATTTATAAAAAGAAAAAAGACAAAAAAAAAATGAAAAAAAGAAGAAAAGAAAGCCAACTTTGTCCTTTGACATTAGAACTCAAAGAAAAATATATTTGCTAATTTGATGAAAATTTTAAACAGAATATTACCTTAATTTATGCTATCAGGTAAAAAGTCAATGTAAAAACCACACAGATAGTTAGTACAATCTGAATAGTAGTGCATGTCCACTTAACGCAACTAAAACATTAAGTTTATACATGAAGTAACAATCTCCAAAAAAATTATTAGCTTCTTTTGGGTTTTTGAAAAATCAGAAAAAAGGTTGCTATGAAAATAGTGAGAATGAAGAATGAAATAATATTAGAATAGTCAAATATGAGGAGGTTGAACATAACAGATATCTTTAAGTGAGAGTTAACTATAAATATACAAATCTAAAACGAAAAAAAAAACAAAAACATAAAAACTTTTAGGAATGGTCAATTTTCATTTATTTCATATCTGATGTAAAAAGCATCATTAATTTACAATATTTGTTCAGCATAGTTCAAAATCACATCTCTTGTTATATGAATAAAAGTTAAGTTTTATACATTTTTAACTTTAAGAATCAAAATACATCAAGCAGCTTACATTTAAATCAGTATGCTTAGACATTATCATTGTACTCAATTACTGTAACTGTCAATTTTATGTTTTCTATTTGTTTATGGTAAAATTTACATGAAAAAAATGTCTGGCTTACATACAAGTTTTCTCTTGAAAACTAATTTTGCATATAATAATCCAATGAATAACTCAACTACAAAAAAAATGTTCATAAAATATGATGACTAAAAATCCAAATTACCCAGTCCAAAAGTTTCCATATTTACAACTATGCATTTTGTTGTAGATGATCAAAGAAAAATTTATTTCATTATCATTTTTTGTCTATGAAAATGTAGTTATAAATTAAAACAAACGCAATTGCAAATGTAAATAGTGACTTATGCTTTGATCTTGAATCTTTCCATGCAAAATAATTCATGCTAAAACAAGAATCTACAGACATTACTAACTTAAAAATCACAAACAAATAAACAATGAAAATCATTAATCTATGTCTATGATATAAGTATATAAATATGTCTGTAAATTTTCATACTTTAATAATAAGAATATTAATGCTGTTTTCATATCTCTTTTAGCACTTATTCAATTTTGTATTAGTTTTTTAGCTGGAATCCAATAAATCTGCATAAAAAGAAATTCAGAAAATTATATCAAATGTACTAGTGCCTTTAAAGATCTTAATATCTTTTTCCTAAATTTCAATTTATTTGCAGACAAGAGTTACCTACCTTTGTAAGAGTTCCCACTGCTGCCACTACTGCTGTTGGTTATCTCCCTTATATCACATTTCATCAGAGTACTGTCTGCTGAGTAACGTTTTAAATGATCTGGGGTACCAGACCTTGTGGCATCATTTAGACTATCACGACTGCCAGCAAGGGATGGTGGGGCACTCTGTTGTCCTCTCGTTTGTTCATCCTGAGAGATATAATAAAAAAATCTATCTAAAAGCAACCAAATTATTCTTAATCTTGTAATTTTTAGGGTTTTCTACTTTCGTTCTTTAAGGAAAAATCAGTAATTCATGATTAATTTTTTTTTACCGATCGAAGGTATTTTTTGTGGGTTTTAAAGTGCTTCATCTACATTTGAACTATTTCATATATTTGTTTTGTTGGGTTAAATAGCACTTTTTTTCATGGCTTTATAATATAAGTCGAGGAATAAGAGTGGTCTGTGTTAGCTCTGGACAAATTAGTAATTCTATAACACACTGGTATATCAACTTAACCTTTCAATATTTGCAGGGAGCCTTGGTTGCCGAGTTGTCTAAGTAGTACAACTACTGTATTACTTGCCTGTCAACACTGAGGTTGTTAGTTCCAACCCAAAACATGTCAGGTGAGTTCAACTCCAATCTTAATTGACTAGGATTGCCAGTTTTCAAGCTGAAAGTCTATGATTCTCTACGGGCACTCTGGCTTTTACCACCATTAAAAATTGTCTGCCGCAAAATAGCCAATAGTGCTGAAAGGTGTGTTAGACACCAAGAATCAATCAATCAATATTTGCAAATAACAGAAATACCTATGCATTCTGAACCTCAATTCAACAGTCATCTTTCTTATTAGGTCAGGTTTGTTTGGTCCTGAGGATGACATTTATATACAGGTTTGACTGTTGATATTTTCTACACTTGTTGCCTCTTACGCTTACCTCTAACACTGGTGGGTTAACTGGAGGGTTTGCCCTGGGTGGAAGAGGAGGTGGTATACTGAACTCGTCTGACTTCTTGATTGTGTCTGATCCTATAAGGGTTCCTGAGCGTGATTCTCCTGTATGTTGACTCGTTGTTGAAGTGTTAGAACTGGGAGGTGTGTTTGAGTAAGATGTTGTCACAGGCACTGAATTGAAGGCTAAAAACAGAAAACAAAAACACATTAAATTTGAATTTAAATTTTCCTCAGTATAATTTGTAGGAATTACCTCAGCATCAAACAGTTACATAAATGCAACAAAAAAGATGAAAATACTATTACAATGATTCCTTTAACTAACCATATCTTGAATAATATTCATAAGTTAAAAATAATATACTGTGGATTCATTTATTTTCGTGGGTACCAATTTTCGTGGATTAAGGAAAAAATGTTTTTTCAGGAATACTTAATTTCATGGTTTTGCAAAAGTCTGCATACAAGCTTATATAAAGTTTGCACTGCGTTGAAGATTTTAATTCATGGTTCTCCTTCACCCACGAAAATTGGTATCCAACGAATAATTGTGAATCCACAGTACTGTGGATTCAATTATCATCTCAGGTATCATTTTTGTGGATTTGGGAAAGATGGTGTTTTCATGGATACTTGATTTGGTACTTTTGCCAAAGTTTGCATACTAGCATATAGTAAATTTGTACTTCATTGAACTCTTAAATTAGTGGGTCACATAAAATCCACGAAACTGATACCCACCAATAAATATAAGTTTTCCTATCAAGGAACATAACTCCTGAACGGTAAAACTGAAAATCATCCATATATACTGAAACTGACCTCCATTTTGTCATCAGTTTGGACATATCAGAATTTGAAAAGCATTGATTGCATGGAAACTGTTGGTATTTGCCTGCCCACCTTACTTCACCATTTTAATAATAGGATTTTTCCTTCAGGAAAACCCAGTTATAAATGGCAATAATAAATGTACACTAAAATTTCTGAATTTACAGAACTTGCAACCCTTCATTTTGATGTACCAGATATTTTTAAAATAACATTATTTTTACACAGACTAATTCTAAAAATACCTACTGAAGTCAGGTGATTCACATGATTGTGGATTGTTCGGGTAAACTAAAGGTTCCTCAGCTCCTCGGAAAAACTGCAACCATAAAAAGAAAAAAATAGTTTATTCAATATACCACCCCATGAATGCTTATAAGTATTTTTTTTTCTAAAAGAGCATTTTTTTTCATAGCAAAAAATGGTATGCTACTTTGTTTATCATCATGGTTAAATCATTTCAGATTAAAGATGTGGTAATCCTCACCTATTATAGGCTTTAATTAAACAGCTGTATGATTTAATGGAATCATTAAAATACCATTTTGTAAAGAAAGAAAATTTAACAATAAAATATTTTAGTTTTGAAATGTTACAATGTAAGTACTGTTATTTTTTGTCATATAAATTCTGATGCATACAGACTAAATAAGATATAATATTCTCAGAAATTAAGATCAGAACCATTTTTCACTAATACTACAAATGTCAACATTTATTCTTGTTCTAACACAACGCCAGGTAGATCTTGTGCTCACCTGCTGTGCTGGAGGTTATGTAAGTTCGAACCTGGACTGGGTCAAACCAAAGATTCTAAAATTGGTATGGCCTGCTTCTCCGATATGTGGGAACCATTAACATGATTAAGGGGTAAGAACAAAGACTGGTCAGGTAAAGTAACATGTCTTCCTGCAGACTGTTACTTTGTAAACTAGCACATTAAAAATCCAGCTCAGCATGTCGCTTTAGTACAAAGCAGGGTATGTAATCATATTGCACAAACGTGCTCTAGTCCTGAATATGCATTCAATTTGCCACTAGATGCAAAACAGCCATCCATCTTGTTCTAACATGCCATGTTCAGAAAAAGACCAAATTTATAATTCCAGGAGAAAATCATGCAATTCTGATATTACTAAAGTAAAAATAATTCTATTAGTTTCCTCGCTGTTTTTTACAAGCTGATCTAAATCCAAACAGAAAACATAAAACAAATCTTAAAAACAAAATACTTGGTCCTTTTTAGTAATATATCTTATCAACTGTTTAGGTACTTATACATCCTTGGCTTTCAAATATTTGGCTTTGAGGGTTCCCGATGAAGGTAAATCCAGAAAAGCTCTTCGGAAGCATGAAATTTATAACATGTTTTTTTTCATTTTTTGAAACCAACCTGATAAAGATGTGTCATGATCCTTGCCACTTCAATCATTGAAGGTCTTTCTGCTGGGTTTCCTGACCAACATCTGTTAAAGATAAATATCCAAATAAATTTACAGAAAAAAAATATATGTTGTAAACTATAATTACTACCATGTAATACCCTTGTAGGTAGTCAACTGAGTTTTACTGTGAGTATTGCTGTGTGTTTGTTTATTCTACATTGGCTAGAGGTATATGGGAGGGTTGAGATCTCACAAAACATTGTTTAACCCTGCTGCATTTTTGCACCTGTCCCAAGTCAGGTGCCTCTGGCCTTTGTTAATCTTGTATGTTTTTTAATTTTAGTTCATTTATATGTTTGGAGTTTAGTGTGACATCCATTTTCACTGAACTAGTACACATTTTTGTTTAGGGGCCAGCTAAATCCCGCCACCGGATTCAGGATTTTCTCCCTGTGTAGAAGAACCATTGGTGGCCTTCGGCTGTTTTCTACTTTGGTTGGGTTGTTGTCTCTTTGACACATTCCCCATTTCCATTCTCAATTTTATTTTAAGGTCCTTAAACACACTCATACTAGACTATGTTTGGAAATGTTGTAGTTTTTATTATTTTATTTTTGTTCTTTTGAAATCTAATTTTTTTTTGCTGGTCATCAGTAAAGTAAAATGTGTAAAGTCTCATGGTACAATGAAACAGACATTCAAAGCACATGTATGTTGTGTATGTTGTGTTTGTTTAGATTGGAAGGCTGTTATAATATTAATACTTATATTTATACTCCATCAAGTGTTTAACACTTCAAAACATAAAATTAACATAGAGACCTAATGGGTAACTTTATTAATTATAGACCATAAAATGTGAAATTAATAGTCAGAGTTAGTATAAATCATAATTTAATAAACATCAAGAAAAAAATTGTTGATTTGAAAAAATGGACTTTTCTGCAAATATATAAAAGATAAATGTAGAATGAATGGGTTAAGTTTCAATTTGAAAATAGTGGGAAATTTATACACAATACAAATTAAATAGTGTGATTCATCAAAATGACAAATTCTGGTATAAATAAACACAGACTTAGAGAAATGTATTTCTATATATATGTACACACCTGACCATTAGTAGTTCTAGAGGTTTGGGTAAATTACTTATCAATGGGGGCCTTGTACCTGAAATGATAAATATGAATTCACAATTAAAATTGCATCATCTATAAATTTGACTAATATTCATATATTATAAAATTGACATAAATTTATTTCAAATTTTTGATAAATAAGTTTTGTATTTTTTTTTTTATAAAATTAAGGTTCTTACTACCTCTGAAGTAACACTGACCTTAGATGATTAAGTTATTTTGTTTATGGCCCTTTGGATGCTTGGCTTTCAAATCTTATCTCCTGTGTATTTAAACAGTCAAGTAAGGCGTTTTTTTTTCATTTTATAAGTACATGTATATACATTTTGTTGAATGAAATTAAATTAAGACTAATTTTTTGAAGACATTATCAGTCAGCATGGTCAGCATTGCAGGGTTTTCAACATTTAAAATTGAACACTAAAAGACAATGAAATATAATCCAGAAAAAGGGTTTCATTTGAGTAAATTTAGTATATTTCATTTTGGTCTACCCAAATACAACTGTTTTTGAATGTAAATACATGAGCAAATGGAATAATCAAGAAAATTGTCACATTTCTTTTTCAATCAGTTCATTGACCAAAACATACATAGTAGTAGATGGTACCTGTGGGAGGCACTTTGAAAATAGGGTGAAGGTGGAGAGTTGTCTCATTGGCAATCATACATCTTCTTATTTTTACAACACTTGTCGAGGCAATTATAAAACTTCAACCTAAATTTTACCGTACAAAAACATTTTGATACCAAAACCATAGTTAAAATTCAGAATGGCCTTTTCTGGGTCCCATTTTTATGGAACAGTCCTTATTCAGTTATTAACAAGTTAATATGTCACCACTAATACAAATTGGCATTCTCTGGGTTCTATATTTATGGAACAGCCCATATTCAGTTATTAAAAAGTCAAGACATCACCATTAATACACATTTTTAAGCCCAGTATTTACACCGACGAAACAATTTTATTTACCATTATGAACTGCCCACATTATTCTGAATGCGGGTCCTCCTATTTCATCAAAAGGTTTCCGCCGGGTAATCACTTCCCATAAAATAATACCAAAACTGAACACATCACATTTTTCACTGTACATGTTTCCTGAAATAGAAAACAAATATATCCTTTAAGCATGGCATACAATTGTGAAATTATTTATCAATATAAGTTACTGTACATTCAGAAATATTTGTGTGCATTTATTATTGGGATTGTTAAATAATTGACTAAAATAAAATAATCATTACATTTTTTGTTGTTGAAATGTTGCATACAAACAATTCAGCGTTTCAGAATCTAATGCATTCTGGGAAACATTTTCAAAAGTGTACACCAAAGCGTCGTGATTGGTTAAAATCCTCCTAAACAATTGAAATTCAACCAATGACATGACATTTTTTTTAATAGAAATGTTGCATACAAATAATTGCTATCAAAATTTGAAATGCGAGTTTTTTTTTGCACCCGCCTATATATCAATTTTTTCAATGATAAAAACATCGCAAAAAATTTCTGAATTTACAGTATGCTGTATTAAAGAGGAACTGCAAGTCATAATTGTTGTTAAAGGGTAGTTACACCCAGATTCAAACATTTGTCATAATCATGGTAATTCTTTGTTACACCCAGATTCAAACATTTGTCATAAACATGGTAATTCTTTGGCTTATTTTCTTGCAGCTAGTAAGAAAATAATATAGCACAATTGACTTAAGATAAGATATATCTAAGTTGCACCTGGGCAAATTTGGTTTCGACATCTCATTTTATATATCTTGAGTCTTCTAAGAGCCTAGATCACTCACCTGGGAAAAATAGGCTTATTTGAATTCTATTTTCACCTTTTTTCACAAAAAAAAATAATTTCAAGAAACAATTTAAGATCTTATTTAATTGGCCATTTCAGGATTTAAACATTTGTGTTTTATACATCAAAAAGAAAATTGCAAGTATCTAGTTGTATGACCATTGTTTAGGATGCTGTTTAATATGTTACCCAGAATGCACTTGATTCTTAAGTGATGAATTACCTTCAAAGACTTCTGGTGCCATCCATGCAGCACTTCCTTTGTTATTTGTCATGTGTGTTTGTATATCACAAGCTGTACCAAAATCACAGATCTTCAAAACTGTTCCTCCCATTATTAGTAATAAACTGAAAATATGTACAAAGTCAATGAACTCATTAATTTTTTACTTAAACTTCAAATTCAATAGAACCTTGTTGTGTCAAAAACTCAAATGAGCCGAGGTTATTTCTAGGTCCCAGTTTAATTCCTGTTTGATCAATGCATTTTAACCTCTGATCATTCAAATTCTCCGTTAAGTCGAGTAAATTTTAAAGTCCTGTCGATGTAAAATTAATGTAAATTGACCCTGATGTCTCGAAGTTCATAAGTAAGAGATTTTGAAAAATGAACCTCGGATAAATCGAATACTTTTGTCCAGTCCCTTCGACTTAAAAGAGGTTCGACTGTATAATAAAACAAATGCAATGATAATACAACATGCATTTCATTGGTAGAACAAATATTATTTTCCATTAAAAATGACTACATATAACAGTTTGGGGATATTCAAACAAGCAGAATACAGTGTTATATCAGATGACTGTGCCCTGCTTAAAATTATCTCAACAAAATTATCTCTATTGTCTTTTAAAAAAGGTGCATCTGGAACAAAGGGAGATAATCAAAATTTTGGTAACATCATAATTATTGTCCATTAAATAAAACTATAAAATTGTAATATTTCATTAGTCTGGAGTAAAACTGCTGTAAAGATTCTTCAACATTTGGATATCGTGATGCCTTTCTCAAATCAATGATTCATGTCCCTCAGATTTAACACACCCTATCATAGCTAATATTGGATCTTACAACAGGACATGTACAGATAGTCCATGAATATGTAGTCATATTTTTATACTCTAGCAGCCATCAGGGAAAGGAGTCATATTACTGTGAATTAATTAATTTTTTTCCAGGTCAATTTTCTTGTATCAGAAATAATTCATTTTTGTGGATTCTTGGTTTTCACAAATTTTTAATTCAAGCCAATAGTAAATTTGTATTTCATTGAATACTTTTTGTGGTGCACCTTTATCCAAATATTTTTTACCCTGCAAATAATAATGAATTATATGTATATGACTTTGACATCTACATATATGTAAAATCTTTAGACAACTTCTTGTCTTCTTATAGCCTATTTTCTTTTGATCTTTATGTATCATATATCATGTATATAACTACTTTATTTAGGTATACTTTTTTCTACACTTACTTTGGAGGTTTCAGATCTCTATGAATCAATGCTTTCGGCTTCATGCCATGTAAATACTCCACACCTTTGGAGCACTGAAGCAGCCAACTCATAGCATGGGCAGTGTTATAAATTGGTTGTGGACCAGCACCATGTAGCACTACAATATTGAAGTATAAGTATTTTAATATCAGGTCGAATTTGGGAACAAAATTCATAAAAAAGAAACACCTTTAATTGGGAAACCGGGTAAGTAGAAAATGTCAATAAATAAAGAATTGTGCTAAAAACAGCTACTATTTTGAAGCCTTATCAGCAATGTTACTTATCAGATTCTAATATGAGTAATGCAACCAGTGTTACTAGTTGAGCAGAGAACTCCTAACCATTCAGGAGCACCTGAGTTCATCCCTGTATTTTTTTAGGTTGATGTAGCTCAATTTTAAGTTTTTATATAAATAAGATGTGGTATGAGTGCCAATGAGACAACTCTCCATCCAAGTCACAATACATTAAAAGTAAACAATTATAGATCAAAGTATGGCCTTCAACACAGAGCCTTGGCTCACACTGAACAGCAAGCTATAAAGGGCCCCAAAATGACTAGGGCAAAACAATTCAAACAGGAAAACCAACGGTCTAATCTATATAAAAAACGAGAAACACCTATGAACCACAACAAAAAACAACAACCACTGAACAACAGGCTCCTGACTTAAGACAGGTGCATAAAAATGCAGTGGGTTTAAACGTTTGAACAGGTGCCAACCTTCACCCTTACCTAAGACAGTAGTGTAACATTACAACATAATGTTCAGTTGTTGTTTGTCTAGTCATCTTTTTTCATTTAACCATAGCATTGTCATTCCATTCTTTGATTTATAAACTTTTAGTTGCTCTCTTACAACCTAATTACTTTTTTTTAGAATTGACAAGAGGATATTCAAAGAAGAAAACAACAGAGATAAAAAGTAAAATGTTCCATCAAAGGTCTGTCTTTTGTTGGTTTTTTTAAAAGGTGATTGTTTCACTACGCTGTCTTTAGAAATTTAACTCGAAATACATAATTTTCCAACACAGCTTGAAAGTGCCTGTTGACATGGTTGAGCAGATTTTCAGAATATCTTATATGTTTTTTTCATTATACATTGTAGCTGTACAAAACAATGGTTTCCCACCTGTTCTGTTCATAATACCTACCATTATACAGTGATCCACCCTCAGCATACTCCATAACAAGACATACCTGTAATTACATGCAATTTTTGTACATGTGTATAATGAAATATTAAAAACCTAATATGATGGCATCTCTTTGTACTGACTTTTCATACTGACAGAAATCAAATGTATGAATTTCACGTACATGTAATAAATCAAATGTATGAACTTTACATAATATATCTAAAGTAGTAAGCATGATAAAATTGTATTATATTATATAAACACTCTGAACAACTTTAAAATCTTAGGTTTTTTTTCTTTTTTATTCTACATGTATTTTGACATAAGTAGTATCAGTCAATTGTGTTTTAACAAAACTAATATTACACATTTCCCTCTATTCATAATTAAAATACATGTATGAAAAAGATGATTTTATATCTGATGTGAAATATCTTTACATTTTCATTCCATACCTACATGTATGTCTACAACTACATATACATATCAACTGCATTTTTTTTTACTATTTCAGATTTTAGCTTTTTTTAATTTCATCCTGGAAATATCTCATTTTAATATAAGGGATACCACAAAGGAGTTCCATTACTTTAGTTTCTGAACAATGAAAAATGTTTAAACTAAAGGAGTTCCAAAAAATTTCAATGAATTGCCTTGCCTAATCATATTAAATATAGAATAACCATACATTGTCTCGAAATATAAATTTTATTTGTACATGGCTTAGAAACAGGTATAAAGCTAGGCTGTGCCGAGCATTTCTACCTGTTTCGAGTCAAGTACAAATACAATTTATATTTCGAGACAATGTATGGTTATTCTTTATATACTGCAACTCTTATAACTGTTCTAAATGAAATATTTAGGGTAAAAACCATCGTTTTTTAATTTGGAGCGGACGACGTAAAATTTACCCGAACCTGTATGTTTTATTGACGTCTTAAATAAAACTCTACGGAAACGTATTGTCAACGTCATAAACAAGGCAATCTACGGTCAGTGACTGTATTTCACATATATATGAATATACGGTCAATGCAATTTAACTACGCTAATAGCTCAGCTGCAGTATATAATCATTTCTCTAATTCTTCATCAATTTATCCCTTTCTGCACCCATTGTATAAAAAAAATTTAATCAACGTGTGGTTCGTTTGATCTCAGTTCTTCATTGGTTAAAGATTATGACGTCGAATTTTCTTGCTTTCCTCTGAATTTCCTATTGTGACGGCATGAAAAAAGGCGACCATGCCTGATGACGTCACATAGAAAGAACACATCTTTTTGCAGATCAAATCTCGTGTAATATGATATTTATCCACTCTCGACAGTTAAATTTTAAATATTTAAAACGCTCGGCGAGCCTCGCATTGTAATTTGAAAATTTAACTGTCTCGAGTGGATAAATATTGTATCACACTCGATGCAGTGGTAGAATCTATATATATATTGTACTTACTGTTGGTGGTTTAGTACAAGCACCATACAGTTTGACAATGTTAGGATGATTGACTCTTGACAGCTGCTTTAACTCTGTCATAAAAGCTTTCCTCTCAGATTCTGTTTCTATTAGTTTTACAGCAACATCTTTTGATCTCCATTTTGCTCTGCTGACAACTCCAAATGCTCCTTTCCCAACAACCTACATGTATATTAAGCAATATAAAACAATACTATTTCACATAAATGATTTTCTTTCTATTAACAAGAATATCTATGCCCAACATCACATCTTCTTCATACACATGTATCAAACTACTGTATTTCAGATTTCTTAACAATTTTTGTGTGCATTTATTACTATACTGCAACCGTTAAACAATGGACAAAAATGTGAGATTGAATATTGTGGTGTATATGATACACATTATGTTATCAAAATTTAAAATGCAAGTTTTTCTTGCGAATAAAATATATTTCAATACCAAAAAATAATTTCGAGTGAAAAATTTGAGCTGTCTCTCCTCAAGAACATACATGTATAATTTGTAAGAAATGTTTACATCAGATACATATGTAACAGTTTATAAACAGACAACCAAGTAAATTCAGTCCATTTCATGGATATACAAATATCTTTTTATGAAATTACATTGACCGAAGTAAAAATGAGTTAAAAATAGATGATAAGGCTACATGAGGGAAAGACATTAACTCTTTCACTTGTGGTGAAATTAGCAACCGCAAGCCGAAACCAGTACTTTGTTTTCTTTCTTAAGAAATAAATTATTTACGTCTTTTTAAATTTCTTTTCTTATAGATCATTGTAGATCATCCAGACAATGTTTTGATTTTTGCAGACAATAATAAATATAATCATGAGAAACATAGACACCAACCACTGCCCATTACCAGTGCAAGCTAACAGTAACAATGACTATTTGGACATGATTTTTTTTTTCTCTTTTTTTTATCGAATAATCAGTCAGGGGTGCTACTTAAACAAGTGATTTCATCATCACTTATTTCAGTGATTTGATAAATTCAGTTATCACCTATTTAAGTGATTTTAGTGTTTTCTTTGATCTTCAAATGCTAATTTCATTGATTTTCCATATTTTCACAATCTTTTCTATAATTTTCCTACATAAATCAATTATCCCTTTTTCTTTGTATATTAATTTCACCAGTGCGCTTGGGCAGTAAGTTAGTGCCCTAAAGCTTTTAAAAGTACCCTTGGGAATTTTTCTGTAATCAAAAATTCATTAACTACTCTTACTATCAGACAAAGATCAACAATATTAGGTAACCTGATTGGTTTTCTTAAGAGTTAGAATGATCTACTTCAAGGTTATGACCTGATCTACAAACTATTCCAGTTTTTGCATATTTTAAAAAACTGTAAAAGTGTCAGGCTTATCAAGCAAAAGACAATTTCTGCATATACATAGTTGTTTTTTCAATGGAATTATTGTCTTTTTACCAATAAAAAAATCAAGCTTGTGGGAAAAATATCAAGAACATGTTATAAACACTTATTAAAGTGATTACATTTTAACTTCTAAAATTACTTGTTTCAGTGATTTTAAAAAGTCTGTGTGAAATTTTTTAATATTTCACAGTCAAAATCACTTGAGGGAGTGATTCTGAAATCACTTGTTTAAGTAGTACCCCTGACTGATAATGCATTTAGATTAAAAAAAAAAAGATAATCAACAATTAACAAATGATCAAAGGAATCAATTTTTTAAAGATACATGTACATGTAATAACAAACATCTTTACTTTTTAAATAACTATCATGTCCAGTGTTCTCCTCAGAACTTTCTTATATCATCCTGGTAAACAGGAAATTTTGAAATACCATCTTGTTTCTAGAAACTATAGCATCACATCCATAACACTATCTATAAGAAACTAATTTCAGATAGCATCACATTCAAGAAATATAGCATCACATTACCATGATGCTAAAAGGCACAGGGGAGAACACTGTATTGTCTAGTTCGGTATATTAACAAACTTTTTTTTTAATTAATTATAACAATTAACATGATTAACAACATGAACAAATATTCTTCTAACTTTCATAATTAGATACAAACTTTTATCAATGAGTATAAATGTATGATTAAAATGTATATTTCAATTTGTTTCTTAGTTTAAACATAATCAGAATATGAATAATTCTATATGCTAAATCAAAGCAAAATGGATTAGACACAAGTAAATCATACTTATGAAGTCTTCTCCATAATACAATATAAACAATATATATACAATATTATGAATAGTAATATAATGAGCATGCATGTAAAGCAAACAGCTTATAGAATATACTACTAGGAGCTATAGGTTAAAAAAGAAGAGAACAGAAAAAAAAAGAAGGGAATATAGAAAAGTCATATAATTCTGTTGAAGTGGGTGTTGAAGATGATGTTGATGATTATGTTCTGTCAGTATCAATAACACTTTCTGAAGGTACAAGAAATCTGTTTGACCTTTGGATGAAATTTTGAACATGTTCGAAAATTCAGCTATCTTGTTGATTCGAAAGTTCCAAGTTTCCGCAAATTAATAGTTTTGTATCTAAAACAAAGTCAGTCAGGGGTACTACTTGTACAAGTAATTTTTATTTACTTGAAGAAGTAATATTAATATACTTATATAAGTAAATTTATAGGATACTTATACAAGTGTATTTTATTTACTTGTATAGGTAAAAAAAAAATTGGGCTTAGTTTTGTCCCTGAGACATTCAGATTTTTTTACTTATACAAGTAAAAAAGTCATCCTATCTTCTTTTCTTGAATTCTTAGGACTTCTTTGCTCTTATAGAATTTTTAATTGTCTGTCCTTTGCAGATGTCTTTACTAATCATCTAAGTGTAATTTCATGGACAATGAAAATCTCATTTGTCTGTTATCTTCAGAACACTGCTCATTTACAAGCCCCCAAGGGGCAATTTTTGAAGGCCTTGCGCAAACACTTAAGATCTTTGTCTAGGTTAGTCTATAAAAAGGTATATACTATGAAATTTAGAGCGAGGGGCTTGCCCCGAGCTCTTAATTTCATAGTATATACCTTTTCATAGACTATCCAATTTAGCACATATTTACAACTCGAGTAATCTTTTAATTGGTCTATTGATAGTTTATTTTGGGTGACTACTTGTATCACAGGTGTTTGTAAAACGGAGCTCATTAACGAAGTTTTGTAAAACTACTCACTAGTATCATTGTAAAACATGTGATTTGAAAAGACCCTTGACTCCAGAATGAAAAGATGGTAGCTGCTGGTGTAAGTATGTATATTGATACAAAGCGGTGTTTTACTATACATGTTCTTCTAACATGTTAAGATGACCAAATAAATTGACCAAAAGCAGGCAATAATTAAATTGCAGTGGAATATTTACATTTTTTTTTAATTTCACAGTAAAACTAAAGCTATAATAAATTTGAAACATATAGTTTGTCCCCATAGATATAGTCTAGCAGATAGGCATTATCTTCAGACATAATCACAGTTTTTCAATTCATGACATCGTCCTGAACATGCATGAAATATTTGCCACTGGACATTACGCAACCAATAATCAATAAATCAATCAATTCATGTCGAAATAGATCACTTCCTTAATTAAGTTTAAAAAATTATCACCATGTTGCTTTAATTTCCCTTCACAAAGTTTCATAGTACACACTTTTTTGTGTACAAAGTAATTGTATGGATGATACATTATCATAATTTTAAGATATCATTGTACTCTAATCAAGGTATAAAGAACCATATGTATTACCCTTTATTTAAATGAAAGAAATTTGCAATTGTCAAAAACATTTTTAGATCCAAAGATTTTAATAGCAGGATATTTAAAAATCAACGTGAAAACAAATTACAAACTATTTAATTTAATTTGGAACACAGCATTTTATTTCAAAATAGCCAGTGGCAATTTTTGTTTTAAATATCTTGATTACGATACAATGAAATCTTACCCTTGTGGTCATTCATGCGTAGTTACTTAGTACACGGGAAAAGTATGTACTATGAAAATTAGAAGGCAAATATAAGCAATTTGATTGGACGAGAAGTTGTAAGTATGTGCTACGCACAATTAGTTTCTTTGTTGAATCAATGAGATAAAACATTGAACTCTAATAAAAAATTATGAGCTAACATGAGAAAAATTGTTAAAGGCATGTTTTTACATCTCAAAACTTGAGAATTTTTGTGGGATTGTAAAAAAAAATTACTTATACAAGTAAACTTTTGAGAAAATTAAGGGGAGATTATTCAAACTTTATACTTAACTTATAGAACTTCAAGTATATTTTATTTACTTCTTCAAGTAAATAACGATTACTTGTACAAGTAGTACCCCTGACTGAAAGTTTTCTAAAGCCAATTAAGATTATTGAGTAAAGTTTTCCTACATCAAGCGTATTTTGGACAAATGAAAAAATAATGATGATCATCCTCAATATCTGACCCACATTGACAATCTTGAAGGATTATTTATAATGTTAGCTCGAAATTTGTTTCTTAATGTCTGCTTCTCAAACAATATTATTTTTCCCCTTTACAACAATAAAACACATGACCAAAACCACTTAACAAAATATGGACAAACTAACAGTATGGCTTAAATAACTGTGGCCTTAATGACTATGGCTGAACTGTCAGTGTGGCCAAAATGTCTTGCGTCTCTGATTTAACCAGGTGCCGAAATGACTAGAATTTGTACAGAGCTGTGGAATTATAAAGATCTTAAGGTTTGTGATTACCGGTTTTTCAAATGACAGTGCACAATAATACTGCATTCGTTCACATGGTAGTATCTTTCATAACTTAATGTCTACTCTAAGCTAAACTATAGAGGAAATGTGAATAGGAGTCGAATTGTGAAAAAATGCAAAACAGGGTTTGACAGATTGATATATAAGTAGAATAACCTCGTAGAATTGTAGTTCTTGGAAGTCTATTTCCTCCACAAAAGTGGGTTCCATTTCAAGCTAAATACTCATCAATTTATGTTCGCCTTTTCCATGAAAAAAGGTTTTAGTAAATCCCTGCCCATATTTTGGTCGAACTGAAAGTGGAGGAACTTGGGAGACTCGTTTTGGAATCAGAGCATATCAGACACTGATGTGTTCATGTTATGCATTCGATGTCAACCTAACCAAATTTCCGGAATTATCCGAGAGTTATCGAAAAGTTGCGAGTGTGAAAACGAATATAATCGGATCAGCCAATTGGATATACAGACTATTTTAACATTTGATTTCATTACATTGGTGTTTCAGGAATAAAGATGTGGTTAATGACACAAGACTTAATCTCCATGCCGCACTTATTAACACTGGAAGGTAAGCAACAAACAATCAATCAATCTATGTATATTTATTCTGCCGCTAACAGAAGTTTCCTTGGGAAATTTGTTATAAACAATGCTATTATATATGTACCTGCTGGAATGGATAGTATATACCCTTTCAGTGGTATGGCTGGAGTAGACTGACTAAATGTATTAATTTGCACTTCTGTATACAATTGTTTCCTGTGTTTTGTTTTGTAACCCCCCCCCCCCCCCACTTGGGAAAATAAAATTATTTTTTATACATGGAGAAGAAGGTTATACCTATTTAAAAGAATAGAATGATCAGATGTGCTGTCTCGTTGACTACCAAATAAATTCAGTCTTCAACTAGACAGGAGGTGTCTGTAAAATATGTCAGAGTCAAGCTCTTATATATAGTCATCTCGAGTTCAGTATAAAAGTTGGGCATATATTAAACGGACACAATGAAAGATCTACCATCAAAACAAAACTCTCCAAAACAACAACAACAGAAACAACAAATTCAAAACACTACAACAACTACTGACGAGGTTTATTTCTGTTTTGGGACAGGCACGTGAATATGTTGCGGGGTTAAATTGTTTTTTAGATATGAATTTGTTATGTTTCTTTCTTATATTTTTGGTTATACGTTGTTGACACACAGTAATGTATGGCATCATTTTCAGACGAACGAGATATTGGTGTAGCCTTAAAGTACACAAAGGATGCTCAATTCAAAAGTAATTGTTGGAGCATCTGATATAACCCCTGGATTTCACTTCATTTTTTGCTGACCAAATATTAAACTCGAATTCTCTGTTTACAGAAGTACATCATAATTACTACTGCGGAATTTTGACATCTTTGATTTATGGGAATATAGTTACTGTCGTTATCTGCATACAAAACAACTGTCGAAAAGACGGATTTATATAGGGAGTTATACAAACCAAACATAATATTAGTAACAAAAATAGTGGATCAGAGCTGTCTTATTTTTCTAAATATATTTTTAAAGGTTTTCAAAGAAAGATGGTATACTGTGATAACTTTTAGCTAAAACCATCACTGTTTTTTAAAGTATATATAATACATTTTTTAAATCCGATTAGATACTACCGTTTATTTGCTTTAAAAATACATTCATTATATAATTGAATGCTGTTTTGTTTTGAAAGTTTATATATACGAAATGAAAGCAAGTGACCATCACATTTTGCATGAAGCGCGGAATGTGATGGTACGTCACTTGCTTTCATTTCGTATAAATTCGAAACTGGTCCAACAGTCTCTAGCTTCTATATAACTGAGACTACTATATAACAAAGCGTTATAGTAGTCTCAGCTTCTAATTGGTCAAATTCTGCTGAATTAGTGTGAGCCAAAATTTGTTCCTGTGAAAAAAGTTCCAGTGGAACTAATTTCACAGGAAATATGTTCTGGGAGAACTTTTTTTCACAGACAATTTCTATATAATTTGTTCCATCTCTATAAAATAAGTTCCTCACTTTACCTGGTGAAATAAGTTCTGGGTTGTGAAATTTGTTCCTTACCTAGTGAAATAAGTTCCGGGTTTGTGAGATTTGTTCCTTACCTGGTGAAATAAGTTCTGGGTTTGTGAGATTTGTTCCTTACCTGGTGAAATAAGTTCCTTGTCTGTGAAATATGTTCCACTGGTTAAACAAGTTTTCTAATATACTGAGCACTTGTCATCAGTGAGTTTAAAGTTATCATTCAAGTACAGTATAAAAACGTATTATATTGATAATGTAATAAATAAAAAGTGTAGACATCCAATTTGGATCCTGTGAATTAAAGCAAATGTTTAATAACATACTCATTGAAAAATACCAAAATGACACTTATGAGCCAGAAAAGAGTAGAATAAGAATAATCATTCAGAAAAAAAGTATAGTTAAAGATGAAAATTTGTACTAATTTGAAAAGGACAAAGTGACTGATAAATTATATTAAAAGACATAAAGAATCAAAAGACACACACTTTTGAAACTGTGCCATGACCTTATAGCTAAGTACATGTATGCCGACTAGAACACTCATGACAGATTAACAGGGAGGGGGAATACCACATAAAACATAAATGCAAATTATGATACATTACCATCGCTTTTATTTCTTATCTTCATCCTACAGTCACAGTCATGCCTTCAATTGCAAATTTACCCCATGCAAGCACAGTACAGCATCCAGCTTGCATTATAATTTTTAAGTATAACAAGAAAATTATCTCTGTGCAATATGTTGCAAAGGTACTTATTTTCTTTGAAATATGTTTGAGCAGAACTTATTCATTGATTTCTATGAAATATCTTCGTTCAAAACTAATATCACATGAAATTATTTCACTTTTTTTTAAATTTTAATTTTGGAACAAAATTCATGGAGCTGTGATTTTTGTTCCGGGACTTATTTCTCATTTGGTCAAAAAAATTAGTTCCGGAACAAATTTTACAGTGCTGGAACATATTTTCTGTGATATAAATTCCAGTGGAACATATTTCCTATGAAATTTGTTCCGGCGGAACAAATGTCACGCCGGAACAATTTTTTTGTTACATTACAACTGTTGTGATTTATTAGCTAAAACAATTCATATTTTTCAAGCAAAAATTAAAAAAGATATATGTGGTATCAATTTTGTTTGCTTCCACTCTAATTACATGTAGTAATAAAGAAACAACAACTATTCAGAAGTATTTTATAACATTCGATGCATTGGTGTAATTAAAAAAACTGCGAACCACGAAAACGAAAGGTAGTATAGTTTCGGAAAGAATCGACATGTTATTCAGGTGACCAGAGGTTTATTTGAATCAACTCTTTAGTGAGAACTGTTGAAGCAACATGGCGACGTTTAAAAAGCCGCGACGTAATTTTCGTGGTAGAAAAATTGTTACAGAAGAAGAATCGGATGAAGAAAAGGATGAGGATGTACAAGAAATGGAAGTTGACGAACAGTCTAATGATGCAGATGGACCAAAACTTTCCAAAAAATCAAAGAAGAGTAAAAAGGAAGCGAAATCGTCCTTGAGTTTCGTCCATGATTTACAAAATGAAGGTTAATATATATCTAATAGTAATAATCTAAAAATGCATTTAGCTGTTCGATCATGCATTACACCTTCAATAATGGGTGTCAGGCCTCTTCATTATCATTATTAAAAACTTTTTCATTCCTGGAAAGGAGGGGCGAAAGATACCAAAGGGACATTCAAACTCATAAGTCGAAAATAAACTGACAAAGCCATTGGCATTGTTAAAAAAGAAAAAAGACCAACAGACAAACAATAGTACACAAAGCACAACATAGAAAACTAAAGACTCAGCAACATGAACCCCACCAAAAACAGGGGGGTGGGGGGTGATCTCAAGTTGCAAGTTAATTAGCTAATCCTACAGCCGAGAGTGGCGACTTCTAAATTTCACTTGCCTGAATCCAAATATAATACATTTAGCTGTACCACCATGTACATTGTATACTAGCGAACATTTTGTCAAAGGAAGGCAATTAATTATTATAAATTTGCTATAAACCAATATTTGTACATTGATAATTACTTCATGACGTTATGCAAATTCTTGAAATAATGTAAACTTATCTAAATGCAACTGTCCTAAGTCAGGAATCTGATGTTCAGTAGTTGTCGTTTGTTGATGTGGTTCATAAGTGTTTCACGTTTTTTATATACATTTTGTAGATTAGACCGTTGGTTTTCCTGTTTGAATGGTTTTACACTAGTAATTTTTGGGGCCCTTTATAGCTTACTGTTCGGTGTGAGCCAAGGCTCCGTGTTGAAGATGTACTTTGACCTATAATGGTTTACTTTTATAAATTTTGACTTGGATGGAGAGTTGTCTCATTGGCACTCATACCACATCTTCCAGTGATATTGTTGTCTTTTTTCAAAACTACCTCTACCGTTTTTTATTGGGAAAAATGCATATTTTTTATTGAAAGAGGGGAAAGAAACAGAAGCAATGATGGTACTTAATGCATTGAAAACCACATGTGTTACAAACACCATGATGATTCTGATCAGAAAACAGGATCTCAAAAGTGCTTTCTAATATCAAAATAATAACATGAATATGATATTTACAAACATTACTACTAATGCTATCACTGTTTGGGGATTATGTAAAACTTTTTGGGAGGAATTTTTAGCCATTTTTTTTAGTAATTGGGAATTTTCTCTAGGGGAAAAAGCCGAATTTCGGCTGTAATTTGAGGCAAACAATATCACTGTCTTCTTATATCTATTAACAATTGTAGGTTATTAAGGGAATAAGATCTTTGATATTGATATACATTGTAATATTTAAGCATGACACTTAGCATGAAACATTAACACAGAGGAAATACATACATTTTACTTGTTTTAAATGAGAAGTCTATTTTTAACCATCACAGTTGATTGGCCCTTATATGTACTGAGGACAAATAAACTTTGAGGCAGAAATTTACCTGATACTATTACTATTACAAGCTTACTCAACATGTACATGCATAATGCATATGATATAATAATTCCAAATCAATATTTCAGGTGAAGAAATCAAGATTAAAAAATCTAGTCACAGCAAAAAACTGGCAAAGATGCTAAAAAAGGAAATGCAAAAAGAGAAGGAAGAAGTGCATAAAGTAGAAAAGATAATCAAACAGGAACCAGTCCAGGTTGAAGTTACGTTTAGTCCAAAGGTTGACAGAGATGCACATATAAAGGTGAAACAAAGATTTTCAACAATTCTCTTGGTCAAGGCAAACATTAAAATAATAAAGATGTTTCTCATATTGTCCCATCAAGCATTATTGTTCTTTGGTATTTTTTGCTAATTTTTATTTCTGGAATTTCCAGTGTAATGTTTTCTATTATGTGTCCACTCGTTTGTCATGTATGATGTTTAAGTTTTGGTCAATGCAGTTTACCATGAATTTGCGGTCACATCATCTTAAAATGGGGAGGAAAAGAAGAAGAAAGAATGATGGGTACAATAGGTCACATCATCTTAAAATGGGGGGGGGGGGGGGGAAGAAAAAGAGAGAATGATGGGTACAATAGGTCATGATGATCCCTGGCTGTGATATGAACCTTGAAAAGAAAGGTCAAATTCTGGTTTAAACCCAGATTTCAGAGTTAACTGAACAAAGAAATATTGTGAGAGTGAGGCAGATTCTTGTTTTAGCTCTTTGTAAAACAGTAAAACAGATTCTTGTTTAAGATTCTTTGAAAAACAGATTCTTGTTTTAGATTCTTTGTAAAACAGATTCTTGTTTTAGCTCTTTGTAAAACAGTAAAACAGGTTCTTGTTTTAGCTATTTGTAAAACAGTAAAACAGATTCTTGTTTTAGATTCTTTGTAAAACAGATTCTTGTTTTAGATTCTTTTTAAAACAGATTCTTGTTTTAGATTCTTTGTAAAACAGATTCTTGTTTTAGATTTTTTGTAAAACAGATTCCTGTTTTAGCTCTGTAAAACAGTAAAACAGGTTCTTGTTTTAGATTTTTTGTAAAACTGATTCTTGTTTTAGCTATTTGTAAAACAGTAAAACAGATTCTTGTTTAAGCTATTTGTAAAACAGTAAAACAGATTCTTGTTTTAGATTATTGTTTTAGCTATTTGTAAAACAGTAAAAGCTGTTATCTCAATACTACTTTTCCTCTAATCCAAATTATAAGATTCTTGGAAAGAGTACTTCCTTTTTTTCCATGTCTTCATCAAGCTGCTAAGAGAACATTGATGATATTGTCACAATTTTAACTCAAATTGCTTTTAATAATTGACAAATACTCCTTAAAATTCTCTAGGAATGGAATGCTATTTAGCTCTAGGAGAAAACTGTTTTCTGCATAGACAATTTGATCAATGGAACAGTACAAATGTTGGAAAAGATCAATTAATAAATTTTAAAAGTGCAGACATCTATCTGTATATAATTTATACCTATAAAAGAACATACTCATTAAGAGCATTATTTAAATATTTTAGAAATTAAGAGAAGAGTTACTTACCTTGAATGGAGAAGAGGCAGAGGCAGCAGATAATGATAGCGAAGAAGATGAGAAGGGAGCTATCCATAAAATGCTTGGACGTAAGTGTTTTGGAGAGTTGTGTAGATTCATTATTACTATTATTTATGATACCAACTTTTATGCCCCTGCCATAGGCAAAGGGGGCATTAAGTGTTACTCTTGGCCGTCTGTCCCTCCTTCCGCATAAGTTTTCTTCATCCAAATTTAATTAAACTCATACACAATGATAAGAACCAAAACTCGTAGACAGAGTTCCAATTTGGACAGTGAGTCACTTATCGATCTAGAGTTATGTCCCTTTATAACCTGGAAAATTGCATAATTTTTGTTTCTGCATTCGCTTAAGTTTGCCTCATCCAAATTTAAAAAAAACTCATACACAATGCTGAGAACCACAACAAGCAGATAAAAATTTGGCAGTATGTCATTTATGGTTCTAGATTTATACCCCTTTATAAAGTCTATGAAAATTGCAAAATTTTTCAGTTTCCACACTCTAACATAAGTTTGTCTCATTCAAATGTTATGAAACTCAAACACAATGCTAACAACCACAACATGCAGACAGAGTTCTAATTTGGGAAGTGAGTCATTTACTGTTCTAGAGTTATGCCCCTATTTAACTTGAAAAAATGCAAAGCTTAAGGGTGGGCATTCGTTCTCTCAGACACATTCTTCCTTTATTTGTGAATGTCATGACCTGTTTGGCTGTCCGTCCATTGAGCCACCCTTAACAAATTCTTTGTTTGATGTTGCCTATCCATGCCTTGTAGGGTTGGGTAGGTAGATAGGGATTTTATTTATTTTTTTTGGCCAACAACTTAAGTTACATGTGTTAGACAAGAAACAATGTTAGAGCACAAAAAAGACTTTAAAAAAAAATTTTGTAACAATTTGTGTCATAATTTTTTTAGGGTAGGCTGCTTTTAAGGTGGGTAGGAAGGCAACATCAAACTATTTTAATTTAATTTTTTGCCTTGTACATGTACCCTGAAACATTAAATTTTGTTATTCAAACATTTTCTAACAGGCATGACTTGTAAGTTCTGAAGGAAAGCTGTAATACCTGTTTCTTTGGATTACTGAGAACTATTTAATGTCATGATTTAAAGTGTCCTGATCATTATTTTTTGTAGGTGGCCAGATACCAGATGCAAACATGATCCATAGCATCAGGAAACAAAGACAACAGAGACGAGATCTTGGAGATTTTATACCTGTTGATGATACAGTCAAAGTTGAAAAATCAAGTTCAAAGTCTAGATTAGTCAGGTACAGTAAACAATGCAGAAAAGGCTAAGACTATAAACTTAAACATCAGTTTTATTTTAACTTTTGCTTAATTATTTTTATTTGGCCAGTATGTGTACACAGTTCTGATATCATGATAAGAATGCAAATATTATAACCAAATGAACACATCATTTTTCATGCATCTGAAATTCATACATACATGTATAGGGAAAGAAGTGAGAATATTAAAGATTAGTTTACGAAATTGATTTGCCAATTTCTGTTTTAGGGCCATAACCTGAAAAAATGTATGGGAGAGTTAGATACCACTTGATGGTTTATTCTGTGTGTAAAAGAGATGGAAGCAAATACGATTCTGTTACAAATGAAAATATTGGGTGATGGGAAAAGGGGGGGGGGGGGGGGGGTATACAAAAGTGTTGTACAATACATTATTTCATAGAATAGACTTAACAATACAGTAAATGGATCAATCCTATTGTAATATTTATCTTTAAATTTTCCATTCTCCAGAGAGGATGACAACGACAAGAGTGATGATGATGAAGAAGGCAGGATAGATTTCTCCGTCAATACATTTGCCAAAGAAAGACAGAAAATACAGAATGACTTTCTGGCTATTGAACATGGTAGGTTACAGTGCCCTAAAAATGACTTGGAATAGATTGTATTATAGTATATTATCAAAAAGAATTTCATGTAGTTTCTAGGTGTCAATTAGATATAATATTCTGCGATATTTATACCCCACGCAACGAGTGTGGAGGGTATAATGTTTTTGACCTGTCTGTCCGTCCGTCAGTCCTGTTTCTTGTCATCGCAACTCCTCTCAAACCACACAACAGAATTTCACGAAACCTTTTTAGATAATAAGGACATACTATGTAGTTGTGCATATCGACAGGAAATTACGATTCAATTTTTTTCTAGGAGTAACGCCCCTTTGAACTTATTTACTTTAATGTACTACTGCAACAGTTTGTCATCGCAACTCCTCTCAAACCACACAACAGAATTTCATGAAACCTTTTCAGATAATAAGGACATACTACGTAGATGTGCATATCGACAGGAAATTACGATTCAATTTTTTTTCCAGGAGTTACGCCCCTTTGAACTTATTTGCCCAATATACTACTGCAACCTTTTGTCATCGCAACTCCTCTCAAACCACACAACAGAATTTCATGAAACTGTGTAGATAATAAGGACATACTATGTAGATGTGCATATTGACAGGAAATTATTATTAAATTTTTTTTTCTGATACAATTTTTTTTTCTTACACTTATTTTATTTCTCCAATGACAATGTGGGGACATGGGGTATGTGAGCCTGCTCACTAAGGTTCTAATCATTCAGATTTGTTGAAGCAATATCCTAAATCAAAAGTATTTTGAAATCTATAGAAAAATATTGTTCACCAGAAAATGTTAGTTGATGAATGTACTTATCTGAAGATTTCCTAAAGTTGGTGTGTATTAGTTTCCAAATTGATGAAATTGCAGTTAGTAATTAAAATGAAATGTTCTACATACATGTTTATTCCTTAAAGAAAAAATTATATTGATTTTATTTATACAGGAAGTGACCAAGAGAGTGACCAGGACAAAGAATGGGAAGAACAACAGATCAGAAAAGGAGTCAATACACAGGTACAGTGATTTGATTTTCATATTGCCTGCAGCATTCATCGAAGAATGCGAAACATAGGATGCTAATTCATAGCAGTGGAGGCATAAACCCTTTGAAAAACTTTGTATTTCAGGAGATAGAAAAGCTGGATAATACAGATCTGGTATAAAGATGTGTTATGGACTCGGGTTTCTATTTGGCATACAAGTCTGTTGTCCTAGACCTTCATGGTTCAATGACCACTTAAAAAAACTACTTTTTTATCATATGATTTTTTTTAGTTATGAGCAATAAGACAACTTTAGTGAGTATTCAGATTCTTTGATAGGTATACAAGGTGTCTGTCAGACAGGGTTTCACCTAATCATGACCTGACATTTCACAGTTCAGTTATCAACTTTTAAGTTTTATTCATTAGGTCCCTTTCTCACAAAAAATTCTTAAGACTAGAATGGATCCTAAGTCATGAACAACTCAGTATACTTACAATCAATTTTAGTTGAAAGATTTATTGTTATAACAATATAATATTTGATTACTTTTTACTGACTTTTTTTTCTGAAAATTCAGTAACCATCGACACAGATATTTGGACTAACTAGGATATTATATTCTTGCATAATTCATCTAAAATATTTCTTTTATCATTTAACGATGTAATCTGAGTATATTGTTAAAACAGCAGATGTCCAAATGAAGTTATTTAAGGTTTAAGAAAAATTAGAATTTATTGTTGAATACAGGTTCAAACACCACTTTTTCAAAATAATGTATGATATTTGTATCCAGATGAGATTTATAAGAAAAGTGAAGGGCCAAGTGAGCTTTTCTCATCACTTGACGTCTGTCGTTTTCGTTGTCGTTAACTTTTTACATTTTGAACTTCTTCTAGAGAACCACTGAATGGAATGAAACCAAACATGGCATGCATGTTCCTTATGAGGTGCTGACCAAGTGTTGTTACTTTGTAGCTGATCCATCTTCCAAGATGGCCACCAGCGGGGGACTTAGTTTAACATAGGACCCTAAGGGAAATACATACAAATGTCTTCTTTTAGAGAACCACTGAATGGAATGAAACCAAACATGGCATGAATGTTCCTTATGAGGTGCTGACCAAGTGTTGTTACTTTGAAGCTGATCCATCATCCAAGATGGCCGCAAGCGGGGGACTTAGTTTAACGTAGGATCCTATGGGAAATACATACAAATGTTTTCTTTTAGAGAACCACATACTGAATGGAATGAAACCAAACATGGTATGAATGTTCCTTATGAGGTGCTGACCGAGTGTTGTTACTATGAAGCCGATCCATAATCCAAGATGGCCGCCAGCGGGGGACTTAGTTTAACATGGGACCCTATGGGAAGTACATACAAATCTCTTCTTTTAGAGAACCACATACTGAATGGATTGAAACCAAACATGGCATGAATGTTCCTTATGAGGTGCTGACCAAGTGTTAATACTATGAAGCCGATCCATAATCCAAGATGGCCACCAGCAGGGGACTTAGTTTAACATAGGACCCTATGGGAAATACATACAAATGTTTTCTTTTAGAGAACCACTGAATTGAATAAAACCAAACATGGCATGAATGTTCCTTATGAGGTGCTGACCAAGTGTTGTTACTTTGAAGCTGATCCATTATCCAAGATGGCCGCCAGCGGGGGACTTTGTTTAACGTAGGATCCTATGGGAAATACATACAAATGTCTTCTTTAAGAGAACCACTGAATGGAATGAAACCAAACATGGTATGAATGTTCCTTATGAGGTGCTGACCGAGTGTTGTTACTTTGAAACCGATCCATAATCCGAGATGGCCGCCAGCGTTGGACTTAGTTTAACGTGGGACCCTATGGGAAGTACATACAAATCTCTTCTTTTAGAGAACCACTGAATGGAATGAAACCAAACATGGCATGAATGTTCCTTATGAGGTGCTGACCAAGTGTTGTTACTTTGAAGCTGATCCATTATCCAAGATGGCCGCCAGCAGGGGACTTAGTTTAACATAGGACCCTATGGGAAGTACATACAAATGTTTTCTTTTAGAGAACCACATACTGAATGGATTGAAACCAAACATGGCATGAATGTTCCTTATGAGGTGCTGACCAAGTGTTGTTACTATGAAGCCGATCCATAATCCAAGATGGCCGCCAGCAGGGGACTTAGTTTAACATAGGACCCTAAGGGAAATACATACAAATGTCTTCTTTTAGAGAACCACTGAATGGAATGAAACCAAACATGGCATGAATGTTCCTTATGAGGTGCTGACCAAGTGTTGTTACTTTGAAGCTGATCCATCATCCAAGATGGCCGCCAGCAGGGGACTTAGTTTAACATAGGACCCTATGAGAAATACATACAAATGTTTTCTTTTAGAGAACCATTGAATGGAATGAAACCAAACATGGCATGCATGTTCCTTTTGAGGTGCTGACTGAGTTTTGTTACTTTGAAGCTGATCCTTCATCCATGATGGCTGCCAGATGGGGACAATGTTTAACAAAGGACCCTATGGACAATACATTCAAATGTCTTCTTTTAGAGAACCACATACTGAATGGATTGAAACCAAACATGGCATGAATGTTCCTTATGAGGTGCTGACTAAGTTTTGTTACTTTGAAGCTGATCCTTCATCCATGATGGCCGCCAATGGGGGGACTTCCTTTAACATAAGACCCTATGGGAAATACATACAAATGCTTCTTCTAGGTGCACTGAATGGAATGAAACCAAAACATGGCATAAATGTTTCTTATGAGGTGCTGATGAAATGTTGCTACTTTGTTGCCGATTTACTGTTCAAGATGGCCACCAGGATTTTTTATTAAATTACAGGACCAATATTAAACCAAATTTGGCCTCACTCATTATTAGGGTATCTGTTATGATTTTAATCTATTTTTACATGATTTCCAAAACCAAAGTAGAATCAGGTGAGCGACACAGGCTCTTGAGAGCCTCTAGTTTTTATACTAGTTTGTACTTTATACAGAATACATATTTAAGCTCAGTTTGCAAGTCAATAGATTCCCTTGTCGGTAGTTTTACTGCAAAGAACTACAGCTAATTCAATTCTCAAATTTCAGGGTGCTCCAGGACAAGAGGAATACAGTTACGACCAATACAGAGAAACCAGTAATGGTTATGGTGTATACAGAGGAGAAGAAGAGCAATCTTTTAAACCATTTAAGCCACTAACTGACTCACAGGACATGTCTGGCGTAACCATGGAGTCACTTAGGAAACGTTTACAGGAGAGGTAACATACATAAGTAATGAATCAATTTTGGCATTGTATTGATTTTGTAATGTCATGGTACCTAAGGAAATATAAAAAAATATGTATAACCTCAGAAAATATATTATGTCATTGTAAAACTAGAAAAAAAACAACCTCTGAACGAGATGTTACATATTTAACTGTAAAAAAATGAATGCAGTTAAAAATTGATACATATATGTTCAACTTTGTGATCTAATTTTTTTAAGGAGAGTCTTAATATATTATAAAGCATCAAATGGACATTTCATGTACAAGAATATTGAAAAAAAATTGTATGACTACGAACAACCATACTTCCCCAGGATAAAGTATAAATAAAGTATGCTCATATTGGTATGAAATGCAAATGACATGAACCATTAATATGGCCATAAAGTGTTCTTAAAATTATTCAACGATGGCAATAACAACAACATAAAATATATCTTAACATTTTGATAGGGAAAAAAATCTAAACACACAAAAAAATCAAATGAAAAGTGTTTGAAAGACAATTTTTCTTTTATCTACATTATATTTTCAGTCATTCAAAGTTTATGTGATAAAAGGATATTTTATTCTTGCATAATTCATCTAAAATATTTCGTTCGTATCATTTACCATAATGTATCTTTACAGATTGACCTCTATGGATGAAGTACATCGTAGCCATGTGCGTGAACGAGACACACTTGAGACGGACATTGAGGAATCGTCGACTAGTATTGACACGTGTAAAGAACGTGTCAAGGGGTTGGAAGAGCAATATCGCTTCTTCCAAGAAATGAGGGGGTATGTGAGAGACTTGGTTGAATGTCTCAATGAGAAGGTGGGTGTCTCATCTGTGTTGGGAGGGATTCTGTCCCGTGAAAGAGGGTTGGGCTAATGCCACTTGTATATTTCTGAGGATTCAGTATCCTGGTTAAATTATCATGTGCTATAAGTTTTTTCTTAAAATTTTGGTACATCATATGTTCTAAAATTCTGCTCATTAGATTCAACCCGAAAAATAGATTTTTATATTTTAGTACATTTTATTTAGATTTACATAAATACAAGTGGCAAAGGGGCCATGTGCGGGTTGTCATCCTTGTATTGTCGTTTTTAGTTATAAAATATTTTTTTCTCTTTCACTTTAAAGATGATAGAAATTAATATTAAGTAAGCCCTTACTTATTTTTGCAACTACAATTCTTTTGGCGGACCATTAAGAAGAAATATCTAAAGATAAGAGTACTACATTTTACCCATGAAATAGACATTACAATTCTCTTTGAAAGCTCTTGCTTGATTTGTGTGTTATAATGTTCATAATGTATAAAACTTGAGTTTCAGTTAGGTCAGTTATGGAAATATCAACACACACATGTGAAATACCTAGGAGATTTCTTTATACAGGGACTACTCTTATAGATTAATTACATTTAACAATATATCAGTACGTCAGAGACTTATAATCAAGAAATGGACAATATAAACAACAGGAAAATATGCATTCCGTACAATGAAATGATTATTCAACCATTTTTACAAAACAATTTTAACAATTTTTCAATTTTCAATAAAAATTTAATAACACAAGCATAACTTTTAATATCATTTTAAGTTAAACTGAATACTGTCTGTCACTTTTAAAACAGTTTTGAAATTTTTCAGAATTAGTCTAAACTGACATAAAAAACAACAATGTATAGACAGTTTCTGTATGTTGAGTACAGTCCTAAATTCACTTGATATCAGTTCTTAGACAAACCTTTAACAAGGATACTTTAAATGTAAAAGCAAAAGAAAAGCTTAAGAAACTGTATGCATGCACATATTTTTTTTATCATTACATATGTGTCATATTCGTTTTCTTTTTATTTTAGGTGCCTACCATCAACGATCTTGAGAATAAAATGCTTATCTTACTTAGTAATCGATCAGAGAGGCTGATATCCCGCCGCCAACAAGATGTACGAGACCAGTGTCAAGATTATATGACAAGTCGGTATTTATACCAGTTTAATCCATTCTGTCCCATTAATATATAGCATTCTGTCAAATTGATGAAACCTGGAAGATATTGATGCTTTGACTTATGATAAGCCCTTGGTGTCTTTTCCTATTTTGCCTTAAAGTTTGTCTGCAGTTCACACAAATGCGTATTGGTTAGAGCCAATAGAATAAAAACAAAATTCTTGACAAAAAAAATCTTGAACATCAAGCCCCAAACACTGTTGATTGTATCCTTAGAGTGATGATTCTCTTTATTCAGAATTCTCGAAATTTAATTTTTCACGGTGGTACTTGAAGAAAATTTGCTGGTCCTCACTATTAATTCTATTGCAAAATACCCAAATTGTGTCGGTATTTTGCCAAATTTTAAGGGTCAATACCTTGGGGACCACCACTTTTCAAAAGCTTTAGTATATGCATTTAAAAGCATTGGTATTTATGACAACAGAAACCAATTTAAGAACATGCACTTCATCATGTTCAACAACTTATGCATAAAAACATTGATGAAAGTAAATGAAAACTTTTATATTTTAAATTTGTTTTCAAAATCAACTTCATAATGATAGAGGGCGTAGTTGACTGAGCTGCATCAAATGCCAGTTTTGCCCCACTATGATGTCTGCAAAATTTACTCTGTCTTCCCTTATAAAATACCAAAATTATTAATAATCAAATTAAATGTTTGTTGACATAAACAATCCAAAAGGGTAAGTTTGAGGCTAGTATAAATACAAAATAAGTACACAATATTAATGATAATTCACATATACAACCATATTTATCAGGTATTTAAATAGTCCAGAGTCCTCAGTTATAATGAATTTTTATAAAAGATGTTCCTTTTTTGTATGTCATATTATGTTTTAATGTTATTGCTAAATCCCATTATAACACTGTTTTCCCCCAAAACAGTGGTCACATGACATTGTGAAACAGGTAAGGAAACCATAGTTATACAAGATTTTATTTGTAGGTTTTAAAGGTAAGTGTTCATAACAAAACTCCTGTTATTGCGGAGGAAATGAAACCTTTCCCCAGAATCAGCTGCAATTTACCTGGCCATTTAAATTTTTGCAAAGTGAATTTAAATTTCCCATTGAAAGAACTATACAGAGAACAATAGGTATCGTATTATTTCAATGAGTGAGTTCGCGTTGCACAAATTTGAATTACCAGGTATAAAAATTGATTTTTGGGAAATGTTTCCTTTCCTTCGCCATTACTTATTAGATATTCAGTAATTTTCTCTATTGAATAATCCCTCTTCCTTTTGATCCAAGTAGTAATTACTCATTTATAGATTATCTAAAAATAGAAAATACAGAAGGTTACAAGGTTCATGTGGATATACAAATAATTCAAACATTAAGTATTTGTAACCTTTGATCTTTCAGGTAAAGCAAAAGTTGTCATGGAGACATCTGAAGACCAGGAAAGACAAAGAAGAGTTGCAGAAAGAGAGGCCAGGAGGTATGTTTTAAGATATTTTATTTAAACATAATTTGCAATAGATCTGTAGAAGTGATAATCTACTTTATTAAGAAATCTGTCCTCTTTGAAGAACAAGACTTATTGATTTTTGGGTTATTATGTCAAGGGTTAAGGTAAGGGAGCCTCTAGATGGAAAAGTTTTGGTTTTATTTAGCCACAATTCAGATCTTGAGGTGAAAAAGACCCATAATAATTTTAAGGTCACTTCGTCAAAGGTCTTTTGCAAGATATGTTAAAAAAACAATCTTTATATTTTTTTTAAAAATAAAAAACCCTTCTATTTTTGTTACATAAATCCATGAAGATCACAACCCTCCTTTTGCATCCATAGTGCTTTCATTAATTTTTTTTTCATTGGACACTCAGATTTTTGTCTCGCCTTGAAGGAGTAAAAAAGCGAGACATAGGTCAACAATTTATTAGTTTGTGATTAGGTCTAGTTCATGGTGAACCACTAGTGGTAGGTCAATGATATTTGGTATGCAGTTGTATTAGCATTGGCACATCTCATTACCATGGAGATTATTTGGCCCCGCCCCCTCAGTCAAGGTCTATTGACTTTGAAACTTTGCTTAGTTTACATGTAGTAGTTTGTGATTAGGTCAGTTTATGGGGAACCACTTTTGGTAGGTCAATGATATTTGGTATGCAGTTGTATAAGCATTGGCATATCTCATTTCCATGAAGATTATTTGGCCCTGCCCCCTCATTCATAGTCTATTGACTTTGAAACTTTTGCTCAGTTTTCATGTATTAGTTTGTGATTAGGTCAGTTTAAGGGTAACTGTTAGTGGTAGGTCAATGATAATAGGTATGCAGTTGTATAAGCATTAGCACATCTCATTTCCATGGAGAATATTTGGTCCTTACCCCTCAGTCATGGTCTATTGACTTTGAAACTTTTGCTTAGTTTACATGTATTGGTTTGTGATTAGGTCAGTTCAAGATGAACCACTAATGTTAAGTCAATAATATTCGCATACTATTGGCATTTGCAAGTTTCATTGGCATATCTCATTTCCATGGAGATTGTTTAGCCCTGTACCTTCAGTCATGGTTCATTGACTTTGAATATTTGCATAACTTACATGTTAAAGTATTGCTTTTTTAATTTCAACATTTGCATTATCAAAATAACAAATAGGTGAGACATATCTCTGTGTTAACAGTTTATTTAAAGTTGTGTAATAAAACTCTCTTATACAGACAAGAAGAATTAATGAAACTGAATAAGAATAGTTTCATCTATATACATATGCAAAAATGATATCACTACTTTCACTAGCAAACTGCTTTTATTTATGAGACTTTGTTACAATTCTATGAAGAAAGTGTGTGGAAAAAAAGTAACTCCAGAGAGCCCACCCCTAAAAAAAAACCCCAAAAAAATAAAACACACACACACACACTTAAATTTTTTTAAACGCATTAGCACAACATGATAATTAATAGTACACCATATTTTTGACTGACAATTTTGATTTCTATTCTTTGATTTCTCTTTTCAGGGCCAGGAGAAGAAGATTGAGAGAGTCTAAAGACATTGTAGGTCACCATGATGGTCTGTCCTCAGATGATGAACAAAACCAATCAGAAATTACTAAATTTAATCTGGAAAAAGGTGGAAAGATATTTTATACTTCAAACCTTCCCCACTTTACAGATATACATTTATTGTATTTGAAAAGGCATATCTCCCCTCCCTAAAAAAGAAAATAAATAAAAATGTATACCCATGTTTCAGTTTGCATGCACTAAGAAGGGTTGGTAGGAAGGGTGTTTCATATTTCTTTTATTTTTGAAACTAGTCTGTACAAAGGACATATGTTTTAATGTATAGATACGAAGCTTAAAATTTGTTATGCCAGGCTTGCATTTTCTGTACATAAGACTCATCAGTACAATAAAAGAAAATAATTGCCTGGCCTACATCTTTCAAATACAGTTTTTAAAAGTCAGACTGTGAAAGGGAAGTTATAAAAATTACTTGCCAAGAAAGCCAATCAAATTTATGCTGAATCTTGATCCAATAAGTAAGTTTTCTCCAAATTGATTGTAAATAATTGAAAGAGCAATAGCTGAGATCAAGGAAATTTTTAGGAAAAGCTTAATTTTAGTTGAAAGGAAAAAGGTTTAAAATTGTATAAAATTGTATTTCATTTAATAACAAGTACAAATGTATATATCTTTTGGAGCAAGAACGCAAAAGGTTTAAGACTGATGATCTATTTTAACCTAGAAATTTTTTGGCATTTTATTTTTAGAAAGCATACACAGTGGAGTGGAGAGGTTATTTGAAGATGTGGTAGAAGATTTTAGTGATATACATTCTATTAGAGAAAGATTTGAGGACTGGAGGTCATTATACAATGATACATATAAAGAGGCCTATATAGGACTATGTTTACCCAAACTTGTCAATCCATTTGTACGATTACAGCTGATTAACTGGAATCCTTTACAGGTAAGATTACAAATAAACAATAAAAGAAGGAGGTGCAATAAGGGCCCCCCATTTCTAGCTTAAATTTCAAATAAGGATTTATGTAATAAATTATAGCTTAAAAAATGACTAGATAGGAAATAAGTTTCCTTAAAATTCAATAAACAGGTCAAATTCTATTGGTTTTTAGTACCGGAAACATACAACACATAAATGGACAAAGAAGATCTCTTGACATTATGTATGTTATATGAAATTACTTATCTTACTTTGATATTTAGTTTGTCACACCCTGTGCTCTATATTTCTTAGACTGAGATGTGGTTATAATCCAGACAATTTTGTCAACTTTTACCAAAATCTCTATGTTTGCCTTTTTTGGTGTGTAAATATCTACGTTTTCTAAGAAAAGCTTGACAAAATAATTCTGTTTTACCCTTGTCCGTCTGTCCGTATGTACGTCCCAAAATTGGTTTCTGTTCTCTAACTTAAGTTTGCCTCAACCAAATGTAATGAAACTTATATACAATGCTTATTACCACAAAACACAGATCAAGTTTGAATTTTGGTGGCGTCACTTTAACCGTTCTAGAGTTATGCCCCTTTATAAATGGAAAAATTGCAAAATTTTTCATTTTTTCTAACTTAAGTTTGCCTCAACCAAATGTTATGAAACTTATACACAATGCTTATTACCACAATACATAGATCAAGTTTGAATTTTGGTGGTGTCACTTTTACTGTTCTAGAGTTATGCCCCTTACAAATGGAAAAATGCTAAATTTTTCATTTTTTTTTATAAAAATATCAATGATGTCATTGTTCAAGTAATTTTTAAAATTGGAGTTATCTTCCTTTGTCCATGATTATAGTTGAATCAACTACAATCAATGCTTTATACAATGCAATGTTTAATTTTTCCTTCCACTGATAAAACACAGATCAAGTTGAATTTGGGTAGTGTCACTTTAACCATTATTGAGTTATGCCCCTTTATAAATCGAAAAATTGCAAAATATTTAGTTTCTGTTCTGTAACTTAATTTTATCTTGAAACAATGGACTGAATATTTGGGTCAAATATGGCCCTAACCAAAAACATACTCCTTTTTGAAAAAGGAATGTGATTTTGACATTTTTGTGAGTGGTTTTGTGCACTTGTAATTTGATGTCCATTGGGCATGATATGATTAAGCGGTAATAAACATGTTACCAATATGACATCTTCATTGGTGTCTTGTCAGGTTGTTCTAGTTTGCCAGTTAGGGCTGTTTATGGGATGGGAGGCACTCAAATTTATAATTGAATATGGGTGGTAGCATTTTCCTCAGAATTTTTGTAAGAATTGTAAGTAAAATTTAACTTATTATATGGGTGGTCAGGGTCTTAAAAAAGTTCCTCCCATGCCCCCTATCCATTTAATTCTGGAACAGCCCTTGTAAAAAAAAGAAACTTGTATGTCTCAGCTATTTTTTTTATGCCCCTGCCATCACTGTCCGTCCATACATACATCCCAAAATTGGTTTCCTTTATCTTTCTTTAGTTTGCCTCAACCAAATGTTATGTAACTTATAGACAGTGCTTATTGCCTTAAAACACAGATCAAGTTCGAATTTGGGTGTGTCACTTTTACTGTTCTTGAGTTATGCCCCTTTATAACATTATATGCAAGCAGGAGTATCATCTGTGTCCCAAGCAAATACACATTTTTATACGACCGCAAAAAAATTTTGAGGTCGTATATTGGTATGACGTTGGCGTCGTCGTCGTCGTCGTTGTCGTCGTCGTCGTCCGGCGTCGTCGTCCGAATACACAATGGTTTTCGCACTCTAACTTTAGTTTAAGTGAATGGATCTCTATGAAATTTTACCATAAGGTTCAATACCACAATAGGAAGGTGGGAATTGATTTTAGGGGTTATGGTACCAACAGTTAAGGAATTAGGGGCCAAAAAGGGGCTGCAAATAAGCATTTTTATACGACCGCAAAAAAATTTTGTGGTCGTATATTGGTATGACGTTGGCGTCGTCGTCGTCGTCCGGCGTCATCGTCCGAATACATATTGGTTTTCGCACTCTAACTTTAGTTTAAGTGAATGGATCTTTTTGAAATTTGACCATAAGGTTAAATACCACAAAAGGAAGGTTGGGATTGATTTTGGGGGTTATGGTACCAACAGTTAAGGAATTAGGGGCCAAAAAGGGGCCAAAAATGAGCATTTTCTAGTTTCCAGACAATAACTGTGGAACGGTGTATGGATCTCTCTGAAATTATACTACAAGTTTCCATACCACAAAGGGATGGTTAGGATTTGCTTTGGGGGGTTATGGCTCAAACCGTTTAGGAATTAGGGGCAAAAAAGGGGGAAAAACAAGGTTGTCCTGGTTAATGGACAAATACTTTAGTACAAAACATAATTTAAAGCAGTGTAAGGGAGATAAATCAAATACATCATTGAAATTATCTCCCTTACACTGCTTTTAAATTATGTATAAAGTAATTGTTAATGAACAATAAAGATAATCTAAAACAGTGTAAGGGAGGTAATCCAAATACAACATTTTAGTTACTTCCCTTACACTGCTTTTAAATTATGTTTAAAGAAATGCATATTTATAAAGGAAGACCAGTAAAAATATCTGCAAATGTTTTCATCTTTTTTTTTACAAAAAAATCCATATGAAAGATTTGACACTATATTTTTATTAATTCTATTATAAAATAGATTAAGTTAGCACTATGGTAAATTTAAATGGGTAATTATGGTTGCCAACTCCATTGGAAATTTGAATTGAGATTATGACCATATCTTGAGGGAAAGAATTTTTTTAGGGGAAAAGGGGGGGGGGGATAAAAAGAAATTGTGGGGGGCCAATTTTTTCTCATTTCAGATTTCAGAAATTAAAAAGAATTATTCTTCAAATATTATTTTTTTTTCAAATTTCAAATATTGAAAAATTTCAAGAAGTAATCTTTAATTGCACAGTATGGCGCATTAGATTTGTAAAATCTTTGATCACATTTATTTATTTGTTATGCCGAATCTAACAGTGTATTTAGATTTTTAATTTTGGGTCCAGTTTTCAAATTGGTCTACATTAATGTCCAAAGGGTCCAAAATTAAACTTTGTTTGATTTTAGCAAAAATTGAATATATGAGGTTCTTCGATATGCTGAATCTAAACATGTATTTAGATTTTTGATTTTTGGCCCAGTTTTCAAGTTGGTCCAAATTGGGGTCCAAAATTAAACTTTGTTTGATTTCAACAAAAATTGAATATATGGGGTTCTTTGATATGCTGAATCTAACCATGTATTTAGATTTTTTATTTGTGGACCCCGTTATCTAATTGGTTCATATTGAGGTCAAAAGGGTCCAAAATTAAACTTTGTTTGATTTCATCTAAAATTGAATTATTGGGGTTCTTTGATATTCCAAATCTAACCGTGTATTTAGGTTTTTAATTTTGGGTCCTGTTTTTTAAATTGGTCTACATTGAGGTCCAAAGGGTCCAAATTAAACTTAGTTTGATTTTAACAAAAATTGAATTCTTGGGGTTCTTTGATTTGCTGAATCTAAACATGTGTTTAGATTTTTGATTATGGGCCCAGTTTTCAAGTTGGTCCAAGATAGGGTCCAGTATTTAAACTTTGTTTGATTTCAACAAAAATTGAATATATGGGGTTCTTTGATATGCTGAATCTAAACATGTATTTAGATTTTTGATTATGGGCCCAGTTTTCAAGTTGGTCCAAATTGGGGTCCAAAATTAAACTTTGTTTGATTTCAACAAAAATTGGATATATGAGGTTCTTTGATATGCTGAATCTAACCATGTATTTAGATTTTTTATTTGTAGGCCCCGCTATCAAATTGGTTCATATTGAGGTCAAAATGGTCCAAAATTAAACTTTGTTTGATTTCATCGAAAATTGAATTATTGGGGTTCTTTGATATGCCAAATCTAACCGTGTTTTTAGATTTTTAATTTGGGTCCCGTTTTTTAAATTGGTCTTCATTGAGGTCCAAAGGGTCCAAAATTAAACTTACTTTGATTTTAACAAAAATTGAATTCTTGGGGTTCTTTGATATGCTGAATCTAAACATGTGTTTAGATTTTTGATTATGGGCCCAGTTTTCAAGTTGGTCCAAGTTGGGGTCCAAAATTATACTTTTTTTTATTTCAACAAAAATTGAATATATGGGGTTCTTTGATATGCTGAATCTAACCATGAACTTAGATTTTTTATTTGTGGGCCCCGCTATCAAATTGGTTCATATTGAGGTCAAAAGGGTCCAAAATTAAACTTTGTTTGATTTCATCAAAAATTGAATTATTGGGGTTTTTTGATATTCCAAATCTAACCGTGTATTTAGATTTTTAATTTTAAGTCCCGTTTTTTAAATTGGTCTACATTAAGGTCCAAAGGGTCCAAAATTAAACTTAGTTTGATTTTAGCAAAAATTGAATTCTTGGGGTTCTTTGATATGCTGAATCTAAACATGTGTTTAGATTTTTGATTATGGGCCCAGTTTTCAAGTTTGTCCAAGTTGGGGTCCAAAATTAAACTTTGTTTGATTTTAACAAAAATTGAATATATGGGGTTCTTTGATATGCTGAATCTAACCATGTATTTTGATTTTGGACATTGGACCATAATAGGTAAATTAAAAAAATTCAAGTTCTTAGACCACATTCTTTCTGTGTCAGAAACCTATGCTGTGTCAAATATTTAATAACAATCCAAATTCAGAGCTGTATCAAGCTTGAATGTTGTGTCCATACTTGCCCCAACTGTTCAGGGTTCGACCTCTGCGGTCGTATCAAGCTGCGCCCCAGCGAAGCATTTTATTGTAACTTCCAGACATAACTTGTGTGTTAGCATATGGATCTCTTTGACATTGTACCACAAAATTCCATATCACAAAGGGTCAATGCTGGGATTGATTTTGGGGTTAATTGCCTCAAAATTTTAGGAATAAGGGGCCAAAAGGGGGCAAAAAACAAGCATTTTTCTAGTTTCATGACAATAACTTGTGTGTAAGTGTATGGATCTTTCTGAAATTTTACTACAAGGTTCCATTTCACAAAGGGAAAGCTGGAATTGAGTGTTGTGGTAATTGCCCAAAACGTTTAGTAATAAGGGGCCTAAAAAGGGGTTTAAAATAAGCATTTTTTAGTTTCTAGACAATAACTTGTGTTCAAGTGTATGGATCTCTCTAAAATTGTATTACAAGGTACCATACCACAAAGGCAAGGCTGTTATTGAGCTTGGTTTGGGGGGAAAGGGGGTGGGGGTGATGAATCATAAGGGGGGCGGGGGTCAAAAAAGGGGTAATTTTTTTTTTTCCTTTTTTTTTTGTTTAAAATTTACATTTTAAGTTAGTTATTTTTTATCACGAAGAGAAAGTAGGAATTGAGTTTTGGGGTTAATTGCTCAAACATTTATGAATAAGGGGCCAAATATTGGTCGAAAATAAGGATTTTTTTAGTTTGCAACAAAAACTTGTGTTCAAGTGTATGGATCTCTGTGAAAATGTATTGCAATGTACCATACCACAAATTGAAGGTTGTGATTGAGGTGGGAGATGATGAATCAAAAGGGGGTTGAAAAAATGTGTGGGGGGTAGGATTTTTTTTTTCCTTTTTTTTTCTTTAAAATTTTCCATTAAAAGATGGTTGTTTCAGATTTATATATGAAAGAAAATAATAATGATACGGTTATATATCATGCGGAACTGAAATTTAAAATTATGTATATTGGAAATTTAGGTTACATTGGAAAGTAATAATTGGCTTTGGGGGGGGGGGGGGTGGTGGTGGTTATGGCTCTAATGTTTAAGGAATAAGGGGAAAAAAGGTTAAAAAACAAGGGTTTCCATTTTAATAGACAAATAATTGAGTAAAGAACATTATTTAAAAGCAGTGTAAGGTTGGTAATTCAAACTCATTTAAATATCTCATCTACACTGCTTTTAAATTATGTAAATTGGAAATTTTGCCAATAACTTTATTGTTAATAAATGCATTGGAAATTTGCCAACAATTTTAGTGTAATAAACTTCATTGGAAATTTGCCAATATAAAATTTTGCTGATGAAGGTTTTTTGTTTACCTTTAGCCTTGACTATGAAGTCATTTTCTATTTTTATAGCCTTATGATGTAGTTGAATTATTTAATACTTTTATGATGTGTTTAAATGGGGTTTTATCATGTTTATGGTTGCAAATTTATTGTTTTAGTATAATAAACTCCATTTAAAATTTGCCAATAAAAAAAATTTTTGTTTATTTTTAGCTATGATTATGATGTCATTTTCTATTTTACTTTTATGGTTGCAAAGAAATTTTTATTTTTAGATATTACTGTTAAATGATGCTGATTAAGGTTTTTGCTATGTTTAGCCATGACTATGATGTCATTTTCTATTTTAATATCTGTTATGATGTATTTAAATGGGCTTTTATGGTTACAAAGGAATTTTATTTTTAGATATTACTATAAAATGTTGCTGATGCTGATTAAGGATTTTGTTTATTTTTAGCCATGACTATGATGTCATTTTCTATTTTAATACCTTTATGATGTAATTTCCATTTTTAGATATTACTGTTAAATGATGCTGATTAAGGGTTTTTTGCTATGTTTAGCCATGACTATGATGTCATTTTCTATTTTAATATCTTTATGATGTATTTAAATGGGCTTTTATGGTTACAAAGGAATTTTATTTTTAGATATTACTTTAAATGTTGCTGATTAAGGATTTTTGTTTATTTTTAGCCATGACTATGATGTCACTTTCTATTTTAATACCTTTATGATGTATTTAAATGGGCTCCCATGTATTTAGATTTTTGATTATTTATACATGTTACCAAATTGGTCCACATTGAACAAAAACGGTCCAAATTTCAACTTTATTACATTACATCAAACATTGAATTCTACATATTCTTTGATATATTGAAATTAACAAACAATTTAGTTTATGGATATTCCACCATAATAGGTAAATTAAATTTTTTCCAGTTCTTACACCACATTCATCCTGTGTCAGAAACCTATGCTGTGTCAAATATTTAATGACAATCCAAAGTCATAGCTGTATCAAGCTTGAATTTTGTGTCCATACTTGCCCCAACTGTTCAGGGTTCGACCTCTGCGGTCGTATCAAGCTGCGCCCCAGCGAAGCATTTTATTTTGTATGACCTTATAGTAAAGATCAATTTGCAGGATTATCCTTGTTAATTTGCACAAAAATCCTTATTTATAAAGTTTATGATATTTTAAAAAGTCTTATCACTTTACATGTGCTGGTAATCTAATTGCATAAAAGTCATACATTAAACTGTTATGATTTATGCTTGATTGGTAAACAAAAAATAAGGGATTGAAATTTTGCTGTTGAAAAAGGTGAAATATTGGGAGTATTTTTATGCCCCACCTAGGGGCATTATGTTTTTCGGTCTGTGCGTCCGTCTGTTCGTCCGTCTGTCCCGCTTCAGGTTAAAGTTTTTGGTCAAGGTAGTTTTTGATGAAGTTGAAGTCCAATCAACTTGAAACTTAGTACACATTTTCCCTATGATATGATCTTTCTAATTTTAATGCCAAATTGGAGTTTTGACCCCAATTTCAGGGTCCACTGAACATAGAAAATGATAGTGCATCTGTGAGCCAAAATTTGTTCCTGTGAAAAAAGTTCCAGTGGAACTAATATCACAGGAAATATGTTCTGGGAGAACTTTTTTCACAGATGATTTCTATATAACTTGTTCCATCTCTATAAAATAAGTTCCACACTTTGCCTGGTGAAATAAGTACCGGGTTGGTGAAATTTGTTCCTTACCTGGTGAAATAAGTTCCGGGTTTGTGAAATTTGTTCCTCACCTGGTGAAATAAGTTCCTTGTCTGTGAAATATGTTCCACTGGTTAAACAAGTTATCTTATATACTGAGCATTTGTCATCAGTGAGTTTAAAGTTATCATTCAAGTGCATTATAAAAATAAGTATTATATCAATAATAAAAAAAGTAAAAAGTGTAAATCATCCAATTCGGATCCTGTGGAGTATAGCAAATGTTTAATTATATACTCCGTAAAAAATATCAAAATGACACTTTTCAGCCGGAAAAGAGTAGAATAAGAAAAATCAATCATTCAGAAAAAAAGTATAGTTAAAGATGAACATATGTATTTATTTGAAAAGGACAAAGTGACTGATCAGTTATATCAAAAGACATGTAGAAACAAAAGACACACTCTTGTGAAACTGTGCTATGACCTAAGTACATGTATGACTAGAACACGGGGCCATGACAGTTAACAAACACCAAGGAGGAATACCACATAAAACATAAATACAAATTATGATACATTACCATTGCTTTTATTTCTTATCTTCATCCTTTAGTTACAGTCATGCCTTCAATTGCAAATGTATTCCATGCAAGCACACTCAGTACAGCACTCAGCTTGCATTATAATATAAATGTAACAAGAAAATGTTTCGCTTGCAATTTGTTGCAAAGGTACTTATTTTCTGTGAAAATAGGTTTGAGCGGAACTTATTCATTGATTTCTATGAAATATGTACACATTCGTTTAAAACAAATATCACAGGAACTTATTTAACTTTTTAAAACTCTTAATATTAATTGGAACAAAATTCATGGAGCTATGATTTTTGTTCCAGAACTTATTTCACATTTGGTCATAAAATTAGTTCCGGAACAAATTTTACAGTGCTGGAACATATTTTCTGTGATATAAACAAATGTCACGCCAGAAATTTTTTTTGTTACACATCCATGTACTATGGACACATTCTTGTTATTTGTAATTTTGGTCATTATCCCCCACCTCCCTCCAGAAAATGAGATTGTACAAACAACAGGGTTCACCAAGTCTGCTATCTTGTGCCACTAGCTATAGAGATATAACATGTAAGTTATAGAGGAAATTTGAATAAACAGATTTATAAATGGTTAAAAAATTATGATTATGCATGATTATCAGTTATGAAATCGTTCTTTTACAGGAAAGTTGTCGAGATTTTGAAGAGAACAGTTGGTTTGATACCATGCTTTTTTATGGTTCAAAAATTGAAGAATTAGTGGAAAATGTAGATGATGATGTAAAATTATTACCCACAATTGTGGAAAAAATTATTCAACCTCGTCTTACTGGTAAGATGGGCAATTTAAGAAAAGGTGCTAAAAATCCATTTTTATACGTTTTAATTTGTTTAGGTAGAATCAGGGGACATGACTCTATCTGAATTCTTTGCAAAAAAAAAAAATATATTAATTTGATGACACAAACATTGTATGTACAGTAATGAAATGTATTTAAAGATTCTATGGTTCTTGATTTTAACAGTGCTAATTTGAAGTTTGTTAATGGTCAACATACATTTTTTGAGACAGTTAACCATTTAAATTTTTATTTGGCCAATTAAGATGTTTAAAAGTTTGGAGACCTATTGTTTTGCATGGTTCTTTTTATTATAATTATTTGATATGCTTCTTACTATAAACAAACTTAATAGAAAATATTTAATTTTCAGTATCATTATGATATGATTCTATTAATAGTCCATACTTACTTTTGAAAAGTAAAAAAAAGATAAAAGATACATTTGATATTTAAGTTTAATTTGTATGCACACTGACTTGAATGTCATCTTACTTTTCAGTATTTGCTGAGAAAATCTGGGATCCATTATCAACCACACAAACTTCCAGGCTAGTAAATGTCGTTCAAAAAATTATAAATGAATATCCATCAGTTCATGCTGATAATAAAAAAACACAGGTAAGGAGACATTCCATGTTGTAACACATTTGCAGCGTAATAAAGAGCACATGCAATCAAAACCAGGTCTAAAAAATTGTTTACAAATTTGTAAATCAATATAATATAAAGTAGCTTTTCCATAAAGAGCTTATTTGACAGATTTGGTCTAAGTAGTACATCTACAGTGACTTCTAGCCTGTCAACGTTGAGGTTGTAAGTTTGTACCTTGCTGATGGCAAGGTGTGTTCGACTCTGATCTTAGTTTACTAGTAGTTCTCTTGCGAAAATTAGGTGGTTCTCTCCGGGTAATCCAGCTTTCTCGACTAATAAAAAAAAAGTTTTCTAAATGTGGCATTAAACACCAACAATCAATCTACCTTTTCCATTGAAAAGTACACATTCACTCCAAGCATTTATTAAGGGTAAAAAACTTGTTTTTTGTTTACTCTTGTCATTAGCTTGCTCTCTCATACTAGCTATAGGTTAGAATTTAGAACTAGAATCTACAAAAAAATCATCAATAGAATTTGAAGGATGTCTTTAATCAGAATTTTTGAAGAAAGTTGAATGGTTTGTTTCTTTTATCAAGAAAGACATGTGCAGTGGTGGTAATAAAGCTCTTCTCAATCTCAACAAAAGTGAGATTTAGCATGTATTGTGTAAAATATTGTATAAGTAGATGTTGATGGAACTCACTCGCAGTTAAATGTCTCTACATTAAAGTGGTCATTTATATCACTTTAATGTTATTTGTTAATATCCTAGCCTGCAACAGTGATTTACACCTTGAAAAGGTTCAAAACATGAAGGTACAACCTCTCTCATACTGCAAGTATATAGAAGAGTATTTGCTATGACACTGATGTAAAATTGGTAATACATTCTCTAACTTATAATTCTGTATCTCTTTTTACAGGAATTGCTGAGAGCTATTGTTAACAGAATGAAGAAGACTCTTGATGATGATGTTTTTATGCCTCTTTATCCAAAATCGTAAGTCTGTTATCTGTTCAAATTGAGAAGAAATGAATTCATTGTTCATTGTAACTTTATACATTTGTAATTAAAAGGGGGAAACATACAGCTTTTGTTAAAATTCAATTAATAAAAATTTTAGCAAGATTTAAATTTTTTTTTATGGCTCCGCCACTATGTGGTTGGGGCTGTATATTTTTACCCATGTCAATCATTCTGTCATTCCATCATTCCATCATTCCACAACGAACAGTTATACAGACTTTTGTCTAAACACCTTCACATATTGAGCTGATTTCAGTATGTGAGTCTACTATGATGAGTTACAGATCAAGTTTACCTTTGGCTCCACTCTGCTGAATTTTGACAATGACGGGTTTTAGAATCTGAAAATTTCTTGTAAATAAAAGGTATACAGACTTTTTTTCTAAACAACTTCACTATATTGAGTAAATTTTTAGTATGTGAGTCTACTATGATGAGTTACAGCTGGAGTTTATGTTTGATTCTGCTCCACTGATTCTTTATGAAATTACAGGCTTTGGACTTTGAAGTTATGAAATTTCTACTCCTGAAAATGGCTTCAAGCTCTTTTTGCGATCAGGGCCATTCGTTTTGTTCTGACCCGTTTAGTTTTAAAATAAGATACATTTTCTCATCCGCATCTTTATTAACAGGTAATAGCCATGAGATGAGATGAAGATGAGAAAATGTTTTGAATTTCGAATAAAAGTAAATTAATTGTTCATGGCAATTTTCCTAGACAAAGTCAATGATGTTTGGTTTATGATGTCATTGCATTCTCTGTTTACATGACAAAAAAAAAACAAAACATCTCACTCGAGTAATGCGTGATAGAAACTAATCATACAGAAAGATCAAAGAAATTTTTGAGAAAAATAAAGATTGTCAATGAAACAAACATCCACCAGAGTTCAAATGATGTGGATGTTAGCAATTATAGATCACTTTATGGCCTTCAATAATAAGAAAAACCCATAACTGTATTTACAGCTTTAAAAGATATAAGAATACAATTTACGAAAAACAATGTTCTTTTCAGAGTAACAGAGAACAGAGGATCTGGCTCATCTGTGTTCTTTCATCGACAGTCCTGGACATGTATAAAGGTAATTCATTGCAGTAATACTTATACATTGAAAAATTTTGATAAAATTTTATTCATATCAATACATCTTTCAGTTGTTTGTATATATATTTGCTTGTTGGACTCCAGCTTAGTATAATAGACTGTGTTCATTTGTAGCACTCAGTTTCTTTATTCTCTTACTAAGGAACTTGATATAATATTACCTATCGATATTATGAATACGTTTTCTTATGATAAAAGTTTATTTCTTTATCCCGAGTTGTTAGATATGTCTTTATCGATAATGACGGCAAAATATATGTTTTTCAAAAAGTCTTAAAGTTTTTTTTCAAGTTGAAGTAGATTCAAGAAAGTATTCAAAAATTTCAGTTATGTGCAACTTCCAGTAACCATCAGCAACTTCTGGGAGAAAAAAATATCAACTCATAGTAATCCTCAATTTGTGATGCCCTTTTTTTCTGAGAGGTCTTTCAATGGTTGCTGTAACTTAAAAATGACAATACTATAAAAAGAAAATTGTTAAATTTTGACTTCCAACCAAAATATTGGAAAATACCACAATTAATTCATTGTTATATATTAAAGATGTATATTTCAGCTACTAGGTAACATTTTGAGTTGGCATGGAATCCTCTCCAGTAAAGTACTACACAGTCTTGCCCTGGATGGGTTATTGAATCGTTATATCATACTTGGTCTGTGTAATTCACCAATTGGTCAAGAAACCATCCAGAAATGTCAATCAGTAAGTTTTTTGGACAGATATTGTGTATGTGGTGGTAACTATTGGTGTCTATATATCACAGTCGCTTATCAGTGATACTTCCACCAATTTATTTTGTGGTATTCAGAGGACATTTTAAATATTATTCCTTGAAAAATCTCCATTTTTTTGAAAATTTTAGTGAATCCAAGACTAGATAAGTTACAAGGATCCATGCTTATATGTAGAAATATAAAGTGAAAAATAACATATGTGAAATCACAATTTAGAAAAAAAATGGCAAGTTGGTGCTGTTTGAGTGGTGGTATACTCTGGTCCCCTTAATCTTTAGCATGCATAGAAGTAAACATTCTGCTATAAGTGGTGTGCGTTTCATTGATTGAACATACAAAATTAAAATTTAGAGAATAATTTTATACTTAACATTTATACAGAAAATTACTCAATGCTACAAGAAATGTCAAAGAGAGAAAGATGTACATCAGACAAAATTAAATAAGATCTTGGTATCAAAGTTTAACTAAAAACACGCACCGAAGCCTCCTATTACCAAACCTCTTATCAATAGACGTATTTACACTTGTATGCAAATTTGTTTGCCATTACTTAAAACCACACAAGTTCTTGCAAAATATTGCCTCACGATTTTAACCATTTGACGTCATAAATTAAAAGAGATTGTTGCATGACATCAGAAGGTTATTCGGGAACAGATCTAGGGTCATTCGGAGACAAAATTCAGCTAAAGCGTAAATATGTCTTTACAGTCAATGTACCAACAAGAATTTGAAGTATTAGGATATACTGCTTTAAATTTTCAGATAATATCAACATTTCCAAAGCAGTGGTTTACAGGTTTAACAGAAGACAGAACCATGCCACAGTTAGAAAACCTCTGTAGATATCTAGTGTCAATATTTAATTCTATTCATATTCAGTCCCGTACAGATTTCCAAAAAATGGAAGCCAAGTAAGTGTACATCTTTTGAATATAATCAATTTTGGGGCAATGTAAAGGGAGTTTGGGAGGAGAGTCTTAATTTTTTATATTGATCCTACATCCTGGTTGCTTGAATGAGAGGGGAAGGGATTTGGGTACAAATTTGTTATAAAAATTCTGATTATTTCATTAGTATTGTATGAGGTCTGAATGAGGCAAGTCATAAATATAAGTAAAGAATGGCAGAGAAAACAGCTGACGGAACACTAGCAACATGTATAATGTCCAATATACATGAAACAATATATAATACAAAGATTAAAAACAGTAAATAATAGCAAAAGGAAATGAAAACCAAACAATTTTTACACCTTCAGTTGCTGATGTTAATTGTTAGTTTTTTCAAAGAGTTTTAAGTTCTGTTAGTCACCTTCTTTGACCGCTTACACTCTTGTTCACAAGTCTTTCATTTAACATGGTAGAAGTGTATTTTATCGTGAGAAATTTGAAGCCTCAAAATCATTTTAGTTTTTCTCAATTTTTTTCCCTCACTTATGTTTTAAAATTCATAGATGAAAGGTACACCTATTACTTTAAAAATGTTTTTTCTTTAATTTAAATAGCCATCAGAGTAATTATGGACTCATTTTTTTTTTTGTGAATTGAGAAGAAATTTGATTTTGTGCAAGTATGCATACAAGCATGAAGAAAATTTTACTTCATTTAACACTTTAATTTGGGTTAACCTTTACCCAAAATATCCACAAAACTGGTTTTCCAAGAATAATATACTATAGAATCCACAGTATATCTTACAAATCTAATGGTTTGTTTTTATGCCCCTGCCGTAGTGGAGGGGGCATCAAGTTTTTCCCTTGTCTGTCTGTATGTACGTTAGTACGTCTGTCCGTACGTCCCAAAGTAGGTTTTCGTTCTCTAACTCTTCTTATACAATATGCTTATTACCACACAAAACACAGATCAAGTTTGAATTTTGGTGGTGTCACTTTAACCATTCTAGAGCTATGCTCCTTTACAAATGGAAAAATTGCTGAATTTTTCGTTTCCGTTCTCTAACTTTAGTTTGCCTCAACCAAATTTTATTAAACTTATACACAATACTTATTACCACAAAACTTAGATCAAGTTCAAATTTTGGTAAGGTCACTTATACCGGTCTTCAGTTATGTCCGTTTATAATTTTATATGATATGCCATCGGGGGCATCATCTGTGTCGCATGGACACATTCCACATTTGTTTTAATTTGTTCACAATATTAAAATGATAACTATTGTTATATTTTACAGAGAATATGCAAAACAGATCAGTAAGATGCTGATTGGTGTTCATGCCATGGATCTCGTTACGAATTTACCAAAGGTCACATGACTAACGGAGAAAACTGTAGAGGATTTTCAAAAACTTTGTGTTTAACTGTGTGACACTCCAGAAACTACATAAACTGACAGTTAAAAATGTGAATAAACTTGCAGTAAAAACTGTGACTAAACTGCCAGTAAAAACTAAATAAACTGACAGTAAAAACTGTTAATTAACTGACAGTAAAAACTTGATAAACTGGCAGTAAAGACTATGAAATAACTGTAATAGCAGAAACAGTTCACTAACAAAGAACCACCAAACATTGCAAGTCAGTATGAAAGGACTATAGTGGGCTTCTGAACATGTGTTTTTTGAGAGGAAATAAAACGTCTTAGTGCTATATAAATATGACTTTTCATGTTGTAGTATTCCTTCCATTCGGGTCTTTCTTTATTGTGACACCTAATGATATCCTGTCATAGTCATTATGTTCAAAATCTTGTAAGAATTTTATAGAAACTTTAAACTGAAAAATAGCAAGAGGTTAGATTGAAAATACAAATTATCTCCCTTCATAGATTGTATGTTTGAAATCTCTCTCAGAAAATGAGTATAAGGGTTGATTGGAAATAAGAATTCCTTTTTAGACTTGAGTTTTCACAAATTATCTTCGTTAATAGATTGTTTAAAATCTCACGGGATAGCAGAAAATAAGTATAAGGGTTGATTTTGAATAAGAATTCCATGTTTGACTTAGTTTTCACAAGTTATCTCCCTTTATAGATAGTATTTCTAAAATTTCTTTGGGTAGCAGAAAATAAGTGAAAGGGTTGATTGGAAATATGAATTCCATGTTAAATGAAGTTATTAAAAATGTACAACAGTATCTGTCATAGTCTTAACTGTAATCATTTTATTGGTATCAATCAGCACCAACTCACAGGCACGAAATATCAAAAGTTGTGTCAGTTTGTTGTTAAGATTAGAAAATCGCTTACGTATAAGAAACTCTCATTTTACTGATTTAAAAGGAAATACAAGAAGTACTGATTTAAAAAAAATGTTGGAAAAAATGAGACAAGAGATTTTTAGAATAAAAGAAATATTTATAGATATGGAAATTGTTTGAAGAAATGTAATCTAAAAAGTAAGAATTACATTGATGAAAGGAAAATTATGTATAATAAAGACGAATGCTGATTTAAAAGTATCTTTGTCATGAAATTATGGTTAGTTTGTTTCTCATCTTGAGTCAAGATGTACTTGTTTTCACGGAAAAATCAAACCACAGAGTCCAAGATTAGTATTGGTATATGCTTTTGTTGCAGAGCACATAGTATTATGATGTAAAATCACAGACAGGAATAGGCAAAACTGAATCTAAGTTGAATGCCATGTTTCTCTATAAACTGTGATTCACAAAGCAAACTGTGTCAAGGGTAGTAGAATTAGTTAATAATGAAATGTTGAAAATGAAAATACAAACTCTAGAATTGCCTATGGAATTAAGAATGTTTCCAAAATCCCTTTAAAATTGTCTGGTTCCCTCCCTTGACATTCTTGTAACTTTACCTTCCCCTTCCCCACAGAGTCCAAGGTTCAGATTTCGAATCATGATATTGTTAGAATTCTGACACCAACATTCTGCATTAAATCTAGTCCAGAATTAGATCAATTAAAAAAAGCTATGGATAACAATAGTGCACCAATCAAAGAAATGGGTATCTGAGTAAAAGGAGATGTTGGATATATGTCCTTGAGACAGCACCTAACTAAAAAAAAAAAACCCAAAACTCTTTAAACGTTATATCTTATGGACAGCTTTATGTTACTTGAGTTTGTATACTATAGAGATAAAGATACACTGCCAAAGGAACAGCATTTAAAAATAATTCCTTAGTTCATAATTTATTTTTGAAGATTTAAAGTACCCAGATTATTATTGAGACAGCCTCTCTACAATGATACAGCCATGAATGACATCCAAAGATCTTAATTGATGATTATTAACAAATGTCCATACAATATATCCAGCATTAAACTGTACAAAGTCTAGACATGTGATTTGTGATGTGCATGAACTCCTCAGAAATCACTAATATTGTTCAAGTATTCACCAGAGGCTCTTTTGACAGGAACTATATGGATAAAAGGCGATGTAGTATGATTCCCAATGAGACAACTATCCATCAAAATCAAAAGGATGAACTACAGATTACAACAAGCTTTTAACAAAACAAGACCCATACCTTACAATGGATATAAAACGTCCTTGAATAAAAAATGCAACACTACAATGAATGTATTAATCTGATACTACAACAGTGAATGAACATATTCCATCATAATTTTAATTTGATGAATTGTGTTATAGCAGTTTTTGTTTTGTCTTTCGTTGCAGACTACAACTTAGGGATGCCTGTCTAGAGTGGCGTGGTTTTATATATATAGTAAATATTTAGGTCTGCATAATACTTAAAAAAATTTAGAAGGTAGAAGACCTGGATACTTCATGTCTTGTATAAAGACATTACCGTTTGGCATACGACCATTGTTCTTGACCTAATTTTCATGGTTCAGTGACTGCTGAAAAGAACTTTTTTGGTCAATTGAACTTGACCTTGACCTGCTTTCATGGATTGCTAATCAACATTTAGTTTTAAGAATAGGTCCTTATCTTTGAAATGATAAGGAGTAGGTCAACTATATTTGCTGTATAGAAGATTGTAGGGTGTACATATCCGTCTTATAGGGTTCATCTAATCTTGACATCATTTTCATGGATCATTGGTTGATACGTTTTGTGTAACAAGTAACGTTTCCCAGATACTGTAAACATGAGCTCCACCAAAAACCAAAGTGTTTTAAATGGTGAGTATGAGTTCGGACTATTAAAGGTTTTACAGTTAATGTCTTTTGTAAAAAAAATCACTCTGATTCGAACAGAAAATTCTCTGAAAATGACATCAAGATGCTTTATTTCTTGATTGACAACATATTTGTTACGTTTGGAGGACGTGTTTTTCAACAAACTATCGGCATTCCCATGGGAACCAACTGAGCTCCTCTTCTTGCCGACTTGTTCCTTTATTCATATGAGGCTGACTTAATACAGGAACTTCTTAGGAAGAAAGAAAAAGAAGTTAGTAGTAGCCTTTAACTTCACTTTCCGCTATACAAATGATGTTCTCTCACTAAAACAATCAAAATTTGGTGACTTATGTTGAACGTATCTATCCAAATGAACTTGGATACAACAGATACAATTAAGTCTGCCTGATATCTTGACTTACATCTAGAAATTGACAATGAGGGTCGGTTGAAAACAAAACTTTAAGACAAAAGAGATGATTTCAGCTTCTCAATTATGATCTTTCCATTTTTATGTAGCAACATTCCAGCACCGCCTGCATACGGAGTATATATCTCCCCGTTGATACGATATTCTAGGGCTTTTATTTCCTATCATAATTTTCTTGATAGAAGGTTGCTGCTCACAACGGAGCTATAAAACCAAGAGTTCCAAGTGGTGAAGTTGAAATCATCCCTTCGTAAATTTAACGGACGCCATCACGGGTTGGTTGACCGTTATGGAATATCCGTTTCACAGATGACAACGGATATGGTCCAATTGTCGTAACTACTATTCCGTCCCATTTTCCCCGAATGTGACCTACCGAATATGACTTATCACCGCGTTTGTACTAACACGAGCAACACGACAGGTGCCACATGTGGTGCATGATCTGCTTACCCTTCCGAAGCACCTGAGATCACCCCCAGTGTTTGGTGGGGTTCGTGTTGCGCAGTCTTCAGTTTTCTATGTTGTCTTTTGTGTTCTGTTGTTTGTCTGTTGGTCTTTTTCATTTTTAGTTATGGCGTTGTCTGTAATTCAGTTGTTGTCGTTTGTTGCTGTGTTACATATTTGTTTTCGTTCTTCCTGTACATAAATTAGGCCGTTAGTTTTCTCGTTTGAATTGTTTTACATTTTTCATTTCGGGGCCTTTTATAGCTGACTATGCGGTATGGGCTTTGCTCATTGTTAAAGGCCGTACGGTGACCTATAGTTGTAAATTTCTGTGTCATTTGGTCTCCTGTGGAGAGTTGTCTCATTGGCAATCATACCACCTCTTCTTTTTTATATTATGAGTTTGAATGTCCCTTTGGTATCTTTCGCCTCTTTTTTAAAACCCTATTAAAACAGGACAACATTCGATGAAGACTATGAAATAAGAATATATACCTTGGAGTGAGTTCGTAAGATTGGTGGATGCATGCATAAGAACGTTGTATAGGACGTCGATGTTGTTTCATTTTTCAGATTTGTTATATACAGAAAAGTAACTCAAAAAGAAGAATTATGCCATTCATACTGGAAATGTCTGCTTTCATAACCAAAAAAATATTTGTTTTTTTTCTCTGTATGTTTTTGTTTGTTTTGAAAAGCATATAACAGTTTATTTGAACACGTAAACACTATGGACAGCTATTGTCTTTGCAGAAGAAAGGAATATTTGATCTTTCAGACCTTTTAATAATCACATCTAGTTTCAAACTTCCAATACGCACTTCAATATTTATTTGAAAGAACACTAAATCACACAGAGCAATCAAACCAATTCAATTTCTTATTTTTTTCTGTAAAAACTTCCAATAGGTTATAAGACCTAATGATAGTATGAAATATACAATTCAGGAGGATCTCTCTGGATTTCTGGATTGATAATTTATTTTCACCTGTTGCTACGCATGCTTATTTTTTTCCGCGCAAAACATTATTTTCACTTTTGTACACATTTGTTCCTGTATTTTGTGTAGTAGAGTAATAGTTTTCATCAGTCTTGTTCAAAACTATTTATTTTAATTTCTACCAGGCCAAGTTATTCCTTTTCAAAATCCACCTTTCCCTTCAGAAAATAAACATTCGTCCCCTTAGGAGAGAAAAACACATACGAGCCCTCCCTGTTGTTCTCAATTTCTCAACATTACATTTGATTCACAAGAAGTGGGACATTAAGATCTTTGTTCCTATATAGATAACAAACTAGTCACTTAAATCGGCTATACCTAGTGTCAACCTGATAAGGACACGAAGAATGTTCTTCAACATATCATTTTTCTGTATTTTGCTGTGCTGCATTCAGGTCTCAAATCAAGCGTGAGTTTTATAGAACTTTTGTTACCTCGCTTGTTTGCACATATAAACGTTTGGAAAATTGCAGCTTAAACTGTTGCTGTTTATTTATAATACGTGTGCGCACATAAGATTTCTTTTACATAATGATTTTATTCGTGTTTTCGATACTTTTCCATAGACGAGAAATCTATGGCATTTCATTTTCAAAGTAAAACAAAACAACAAAATACCAAAAACAAACAAAGTAATTAAAGAAACTAACAAAAATATAAATCTTACTACCAACATGAAAACACTATAGCATAAGAAAAACATTTTTTTTTTTATAAATTAACATTCCGGAACCAAATTTTGTTTATAATCAATGTATTTATTTTGTATACTTATTTTCGATAAAAGCAAACTATTTTTGTATTTTCCTTCTAAAACCTTTTGTATGAAATTTCGAACCAGAAAATTTATCAAATAAAAAAACCATCCCCTCACAAAAGACGAATGCTCGGTTCCCTATTCATTCGTTCTATTTTATTTTTTTCAGAAAAATACCAATACACACCTATGATTCCCTCGTGTCATATCTAACAAATGGAACCCGAGTCACATACTTTTTCAATACGACAACCTGCCAACCAATTTCATCTACATCTACTATAGACTTACCTATATTCGGTGGTGAAATTAAGTTCTTTTTAACGTCAAAGAGTCCAGAAGGTGCTGCTGTGCAGCTAATTTTCAACCACGAAGTAGTAGAATATGGCAAGAAAGGTTGGTAAACTATGTCAAATATATATATATTGATTTTGATACTCAAAACAGACATGGATGGCCATGGAATTATCAAACATTGTACATCGATATATAATTATTGTTGTTAACATATCCTCCTTTTGTAAAGAAAGCTTCAGGGGAAAAACTCGATACTAAATGGAACATTTTTAAAATGAATCAGAAATAAATAAACTCATCATAGATACCATTTTTTGTACGCCAGACGCGCGATTCATCTACAAAAGACTCATCCGTGACGCTTGAAATCAAGTTAAAAAGGCCGAAAAAAAATACAATGTTTGTATAGAATTGAGGACACACAGTTCCGAAAGGTTTTGCCATATACAGCTAAGGTAATCTTTTCCTGGTATAGAAAATCCTTAGTATTTCGAAAAATTCATATTTTGTAAACATTTAAAGGTGAAATAACAAAAATACCGAACTCCAAGGAAATTTAAAAATGGAAAGTATACCTTATCAAATGGCAAAATCAAAAACTCAAACACATCAAACGAATGGAAAACAACTGTCATATTCCTGACATGGTACAGGCATTTCCTTATGTAGAAAATGGTGGATTAAACCTGGTTTTATTGCTAGCTAAACCTCTCACTTGTATGACAGTAGCATGAAATTATATTGACAAGAATGTGTGAACAAAACAAACAGACCTTATAGGTAAAAATGTCAAAATAGGGGTACAGCAGTCAATATCGTGTTATAATCTAAATCATTACAAAAAACAAACAAATATGTCAACAAAGAAAAACAAAATGGCATATAAGCAAAGCACATAAGCAAATATGGAAGACAAGAATACAAAAAATAACCATAGCACAATAACACAATGGCGGGATGTATAAGTACCGAGCCACGCCAAAAGGATATTACCAAAATGGGTTACACAGTAAAAGTTAATAATTTACAAAGACAATCTATACTTCAAGACTATCGTTTATTATTTGTGAAGTTGATACGGAATATTTATCAATAAGGTCTTAATTGGTATCTTCCAATGAACTTTATTTAGAAAAAGGACGAGATGTTCTTTGTCATAACCCTGGTTCATCAACTTTCTGCTCAGACACTGGTGACGTTTTATAAAGTCTGAGTAGCAGCTGCAAGCTCTTGAATACCGAATGAGTAGGGAAATGTATATCCCATATGCAGGTGAAGTTAGTATATTGCTGCTAAAGTGGGGGAAATTGATAATTTCACAATTAAAATCGTCTTGTTTGTCATAGATTCTGGCACTGAGATGACTGCTTACGTCAAATTCGAGGTATAAGTCTAAACATGAGGCGGAGGAAGTCGTGTCTGTTGTTTCTATAACTTCTAGTTCTGGAGGATATATTAATGGAACCCAATCAGAAGTTTGGATTGTTAATGGAAAAAAAACATCATCAATATATCTGAATGTGAAATTAAATGATCTGGCGTATTTGATCTTTTTGTTTTTGACAAGTGTCTGCAGAAACTCCGACTCATATGAAAATAAGAAGAGGTCGGCTAGGAGAGGCGCACAGTTTGTTCCCATAGGATGCCGCCGACAATTTGTTGAAAAAGTCTACCTCGATTCAACAAATATGTTGTCAATAAGAAACTCCACCATACTGATCACTTGTTCCTCTGTGTAGCATGTTTTATCTTTTTGTTACTATTAACAAAATATGCCGTATATCTCAAAGTAATAAATTTATAGCGTATGCTACCATTTTTATATTGAAAAGCATTGTGACTTATTTATTTTAGACGATATTTCAATTTCACATGGGGAATGGTGGTATAAAGGGTTGAAAATTCAAATGTTTTGATAAAATTAATTTCAGAGAAAGATCGAGATTTGAAATTATCCAGAAGTTCTTTAGAGTTTTTTGTTAGAATCCACATATGGTTAACACTACTACGCGAGTAAACAGTTTCACAGTACTTCTGAAGACCCTCTTTCACTGCGGACAGAATTTTTTGTCAACTTGATGAACAATTCCTTTGTAGAACATGCAGATGAGCCGGCAATGTACCGTTGTTTGTACGGAATTTTGTGAAGCTTAGGTATCCAATACAAACACGGAAAGGCCTCAGATTCGCTATTCAGTGTAATGTTCATTTAAACCATGAAGGACTTATGATTCGCCAAGATCTTATCCTTGTCAAATGATATGTTTTTGTACGTGGGATTACCTGAGTACTCATTTATTCCTAATTCTTTTACAAGGCACTCGTAGTAGTAAGAATTACATACAAAAACAACATTATTTGAAGTTATTCTTCTTTATAATTATAACCATATCAATGATAATTCATGTAAACACAGAGGTGCTGACTACTAAATGGCACTTTATTCAACCAAATATATGTACTGTAACACATTTGATAATTTTTTTTTCTTCTTCTTCTGACCGTGTATAAATTCTTCTTCTTCTCTTTCTTCTTGTTCTTGTTCTTATTTTTTTATTATATTCACAGGAGTATTAAACGTAGACCTGTATTCTATGTATATAATAGATGATACTTTACTTATGATGTATGGCAAACCAGGTTTCTTTGCTAACAACACTGACAATATAAAGGGTGTTATCTGCAAATGGCCCATTGGTAGTTGCAAGTAAGTTTTATACATTATGTTTGAAAACGCAATTGAAATGTCGTTATCTAGAAATTGCCTGCTGATAAACAAAAGCGAGTTTATATTTCTACAGTGAGATTAAAAATACTTTTGAGTGTTTGTTATCTATAAGTGCCTCACTGGTAATTTAACGTTATTTGAATTTATATGATATACACTTGGTTTGAAAATAGTACTGAATGTTCGTTATCTGCAGGTGCCCCACTGATAATGGAAAGTTAGTTTATATTTATACACTGTGTATGAAAATAGCACTGAATGTTAGTTATCTGCAAGTGACGTACTGATAATGGAAAGTTAGTTTATATTTATACACTGTGGTTGAAAATAACACTGAATGTTTGTTACCTGCAAGTGGCCCACTGTTAATAGAAATTTAGTTTTAATTATTACAACGTGTTTAAAAAAACCTTTGAAGAATCATTACTGGAATACTGATCTGAGCGTTTTGTTTTACTGCTTACCTTTCCACCACGGTATGATTGAACACATTGCTATTGTCGTTGATTAATTGACTTGACTGATGACATCATTTCTAAACTGCAGTAATAGCACATATTTTATTCTGTAGTTTTTGGGTAAATGAACCTGCTACACCAAAACATCTCAGTTCATACGATGATATCCAGAAGATCGTGGTAGGTGGAGATCTTGTTCGATTTGTTATTACAACCAGGGGATGTAAATGCCCGCCTGGAGAAGACTGTGGAGATGCTTATGTCGGAGGAGACATGAAGGGTAATTTGTTTTAGCACAAAAGGCGTTATCGAGATCAAGTCTATTGCAATTTGTTTTTTCGGTAGTTTTAAAAAAATATTTGAAAATTCAATACTGTGTAATCTCGAATCGCTAGAAACACAATTACATATATTGTTATATAATTGGAACGTCTTCTGGATAATTATACTTTAACGTAATTTTATATGTAAATATGAAACGGATTATTAATGCAGATGAAGTTTTTGTCCATGGGAATACATTTAAACCTGATTCAATCGAAAGTACTCGGCTCCCCTCTTAGATAATATATCATTTTAGATCCTTATTAAAATGCATTTGTTGGCTATACAAATTTACAAGCATGAGATTCCAAAGCACTCATCATATTTTAAATACTATTTCCCTAAAACAATTGAATGGATATTCATTAAAATCAACAATCTAGCAAACGTTCCCAATCTGATCTATCGGATTACATCTGTGGTTTAGGATTCTTATGATTTTCATACATCTTATTATTTTGAGAGCCAGCACAATCAAGTAACCAAATGCAGAAAATAACATTTTAATCATCAAATATGTTGCTAGCGTTAGGAGATTATCGGTTCTGCATAAAAAAAAACCAATCACAACAACATTCAACTAAAACAAATCATACAGCGGAAATAGTTCCTCATTCAAATAAAAAGAGATGCGCGGTTTATGTCAATCCAGGAAAAACAAAACGAAAGACACATGGAGTGATATACTTCTACTAAACATAACAATAGACAAGTGTCGAGCTCAAACTCGTCCTGAGTACTAAAAGTTATGAATGAAATTAACAAAAACTATGAAAGATCTGCAATCAACACGAAACTCCTTTGAATAACAACATATAAAGGATTAAAACATTAGGTTCATTGAAACTCCGGTCCGTTAATATTGTTTTGCATATGGCTTATAGGGAACTCGTCTGCCTTAAGAGTAAAATGATTTTAATATTCTATAAACAACTTCTTTGATTAGGGCAAACTATATGATTTATATTTTACATCAATTCTACAAATATTTAACCAACATTTATACTCTTGTAGATTTTAAGATTACAAAAGAAGGGACTATCAGCTTCTCAAAATCTATGATATTGTTTTTTCCTATTCCAACGAGTCCAATGTATTATCGGGAGGTCTTCGTCGGCAATGTTCATCCAAACAATACATTAACATTTCTGTTGTCGTATGTGGATGCAACAACATGGGAAATAGAAAATGGTGTGACTATGGCGTGTCCAATAGACACTACACCAGGACATGCAGATTTCTATCTTAGTAGTGAATAATATAGTAGATTATACTAGTAAACCAATTTTGATGTTAAACAGTCATTTTGATCTGAATAGCTCTTAAAAGACTGAACAATAAATCATTAATTCATTTTCAATCTTTTGATTCATTTTCAGACTACAAAACGTTGTTTTGTGGATCGGTTGTAAGGAATGTACGTCTTTCTGAAATGCTGTATGGTCATTTCAAGTGATCATATTCTAATCAGTTAGTGAATTAAATATGTAGCAAAGAAATTATACATAATAATATACAATAAAAAGAAGTGGTGTGGTTGACAATGTTAGGTTGCGATGCGGTTGCCATTGTTATGTTGAAAATATTCTGCATGTGAATTACTAATGAACATGAACATATGTATGCCCTTACAAATTCGAGGATGTGTGTCTACCCTTGTTTAAACCTTAAGATTTCTTTCAATTCCTTTCAAAACTGCCATAAAATGGAAACAACACTTTATAAATTTCATGCGTCCGAAGTGCTTTTCTTGGTTTACCTTCATCAGGAACGCTCAAAGCCGAATATTTGAAAGCATTGGATGTATATTAACCGAAACAGTTGATGAGCTATGTGACCAAAAGGACACAAAAATAATAGCCAAATCCATCAAAGGTCAAATTTGCACGAGGGAGTTGAAACCGTAGTTTCCTAATAGTTACTAAATTTATAAATGCACAATTTAGGAAAGTCTTCTTATCAATCATGTTAGTACCGAAATACCGACTCCTGAGTAAATGATACCATCGAGACTTATAGTCCACCAGCAGCAGTATCAACCTCGTGCTCTAAAAAATGGAAACAAAACTTTATAAATTTCATGCTTCCGAAGCGCTTTTCTTGATTTACCTTCATCAGGAACGCTCAAAGACGATTATTTTGAAAGGCAAGGATGTAAAGGAACAGAAACAGTTGCAGAGCTATATGATCACAAATGATTAAAAATAATAGCCAAATCCATCTAAGGTCAACTTTGCCTGTGGGAGTTGAAACCTTAGTTTATTAATATTTTCTAAATTTAGAAATGGACAATTCAAGAAAGGTTTGTTATAAATCATGTCAGTACAGAAATACTGACTACTGAGCTGATGATACCCTCGGGGTCTGATAGTTAAGCTGTTAGATAAAATCATCATAGGTACCAAGCTTAAAATTTTGCACGCCAGATGCATCAAACTCATCAGTGACGGTCGACTAAAAAATCTAAAAAAGGCCAAATAATGTACGAAGTTGAGGACACAAAATTCCGGAAGGTTTAGTCAAATACAGCCAAGGTAATCTATTCCAGACGAAGAAAATCCTTAGTATAAGATTGGCTTTATCCTTTTTTGTTATCATCATTTAACCCAATCATACAGGCAAAGTACTTATTGTTATCACAAAAACAAATCTTATCAGAAGGTTTCTCAGACTCGGTAAAATCAGAGGCATGTATAACTATACGTTAAACATATTTAAAGTCTGAAATTGAGGCTTAACATTTAGGCACAAGCATCCAACCTTTGCAACTGGTCATGATTGCAATCTAACAGCAGTTTAGATCAGGAAATTTGATAATTTTGGAGGGTTCAGTACTATATTATAATAGTTGATTTAAAGGGTTAGCGTTCTTAAACGTGTTTCAGTTAATGGCCTTGAACCCATAATGTAAAATGGACCTAACCAGGGAAGCCGTTTAATCTTACATATATGCTCTGCATTAAGTCTGTTATGTCGAAGAATGCATGTACCAGGAATATAGCGATAGAGATTGTAAACCTGATTGCATCCTTTTTAAACAAGCTTTTAAAAATGTGGATACTTTGTAAATTTAACGAACATGTACTACAACTGGTGGAACTTTCCGTCTACGTATTCCACAATATATACATAATGAATGCTTATTCTGGAAGAAAAGAGTACCCGAAGAATTTATCTTACCATTTTCATACTTCACATATACACTCTATAATTCCTTAGACAGTCCCAAATGGCTGATTCTTTAATTGGGAGATGCACGTTTAGGCTCATTGTTGTAACATTTGGACTAGTCGACATTTGGGCTAAATTTTTAAGTCTACATTTGAGCTAATCCTCCCATGTAAAGGTAAATTACAGGTTTAATATCTATATTCTATAGATATATTTATATTCAATATGTAATAAATGATATTCTTTCATAACATGTTCGTGTTGAATGTACCCTTCAGTTTGCCAGACAGTGTCTGTTCCTGCTCATCAGGGTGAGGTGGAAGTGGGATTTTGAGTAAGATGAGTATTGATAGTACTGAATAATTTGCTTTAAACTTTGTACAACGTACAGGTATAGAAAAGCTATGTTAAGATATAAAAAGTACACCCAATAGATTTTTCTCAAAGATTGGTTGTTGGTCTGAATCTAAACAGCCTTTAAAAACTGTAATCTTCTGACTGCCTGATCTCAACTGTAAATTCATCTTCATTAAATTGTGTAAAGCTAAAAGTTCTTTTCTTTTCAATTCAAACAATCATGCTTTTCATATGACCTTATTTCTATGCAGGTTGTATTTTTGAAACTTTTTTTAAGTGACATTTTAAGTATTTTATATCAAGTACTAACATATCTTACATGTGCTTTTATTTTTATTTACAAGTAGAAATGATAGGAGTTGATTCACTAGTAGCGTGTGTCTTTAAACAGTCGAACATATTAACAGTACATGGTTTAATCTTTTGAAAAGTATCTGAATTGTTAAAGTAGTAATTACCTTCTGGCTGTACATGAGTCAAATCAGGAGAATCCCCTATGATGTTCCGTGGAACACACAAATCAATTGCTTCAGTGTTCCGTTTAGCAGAAGGGATATTCAAACGCATAAGTCGAAAACAAACTGACAATGCCATGGCAAAAAACGGAAAACGACGAAAAGACAAACAACAGTACACAAAACACAACTTAGAAAACTAAAGACTGAGCAACACGACCTCCACCAAAACCGAGGGTGATCTCAGGTGATCCGGAAGGGTAGGTAGATCCTGCTCCACACGTGGTAAGCGATTGCAAAGTTGACAAAAGAATCGATCCTCTACTGTTCCAAAAGGAAGACAAGAAGCATTATTGTTGAATTATAACTTTCACGTCTTTTAGCTGCTCGTCTTTCGAGCTTGAGAAGTATTTTTGTAGATGATGTTTAAATGCATTTCGACAATTAATTTCTCCTCAGAGATGCTCGGTGATAAAATATTTGAAAATCCAAAATTATGACACAAACGTAGAAGAGCTGATAAAACCAAAAAGAACCAAAAGTTACGACAAACCCGGATAAGGAATCAGATCAGTCCATGGGCGAGATACATTCCTTACTGGGTTGTTGATAACTTGGAACAAATCAACAAATAGAGTTATTATCCTTGTGAAAGCAAAAACATTACCGGTACAGTTTTAACAGCATCAGATGCCAATTTTAACAACCAATGTCTCTTCAGTGAGGCTCGATGCCAAAGTATTTAATCATTCAAATAATAAAACACCTGTTGAAGAACAAAAAAGGACAAACCATGACAAGAAATGAAAAATGTGAGTGTGGGAGATACATTCCTTCAATTAGAAGTAAAAATCATTCAAAATACTAAGATTTTACAACACAAATACATAGATGACTAGTATGCTATATTAAGGTAAATAAAGTTTTTTGATAGCGGATATGTTCCAATTGTCGTAACTACAATCCCGTCCCCCTTTCCCTGAATGTAACCTACCAAATTAGACTTATTAAATTAAAGAGTTTGTACTTACATGAGCAACACTACGGGTGCCACATGTGGAGCAGGATCTGCATACCCTTCTGTTTAAGATTACGATTAAGATCTAACTACAAATCCCTACCACATTTCAAAATCAGGAATCTCGTCAGTGGAGGTTGTTTTATGACATATCGTTTTCCATTACTTGCATACTTCTGTTTTGGGTTGTTGTCAGTTGTTGACATTTTGTGTTAAGTTACATCACAATTATCGTTAACTCGGGACGAATTAGAGCTTGAAATTTACATAGATATCTGTATGTTGTTGAAGGCTAAGTGTTGCCCTCAGGTGTTTGTTGGTTATTTTATTTTTTGAAACGTTGTCTGACTGTTATATACCCATATCTTCTTTATTCATAGCAAACAAGGTCGTACAAAGTTGTGTTATCACCTAAGAATAGTTTCATTTTATTATTTTATAATAAATTTAGAACAACTAAAACTTATTAACGATGACATGGATAATAATTCAAGATACAATTGACGCACAACACGTTACAGTATAAAACATAAAATGACTTCTGCTAATAAGCAGAAAGCATGTATACTCAAAGATATTTTCACTCTACCAGGTTAGGGGAAGGTTGAGCGCTCACAAACATGTTTAACCCCGCCACATTCCTTATGTGCCTGTCCCAAGTCAGGAGCCTGTAGTTCAGTAGTTGTCGTTGGTTCACATCTGTGATAACCTATTTTATTTGCTAATTGAAAATTAAGCTCAATAAAATAATTTAAGACAGCAGAGAAGATAATTCTGTTTTAATTGTTTATTACTAAGACTTAAATAAAGAGTGAGCTATTTATACTGTAAATTTATGATGTCTCTAGTCTGGTCAAAGGGTCAGAGTTTCCTACTTAATCAGACGATAAATTGTTGAAATTAGATAACATGTTTTCAGGTGCAGAGAAATTTCACTTATGACCAGTGCATGCTTGGATTACATCTTTCTTATTGGTCACTGATCTTTCGGTGTCAGAACGAGTTCACGTGTCAGTGCGCTGTAGTCACTTCCTTTTATCATCAGCATTTGATGTGTTAACTTGTGAGTCTTATCAAACAATTTGTTAAAATTCTAATTTTATGGATAATTTTGGACTGGAGTGATTTCCTTTTAGCAATTTGAGGTAAAATCGAACTTACTTTTATTTTTTTAGCTATTTTATGCTTACATTCTGAACAAACGTACAGTTAATTTTTTACCATTCTTTCATTCGGATAGATCTCACGATTTTGATTTATTAATTAATTTTGGTGTTGGTGGCGA